AAATTTCTATTATGGAAGCTGTCTGCACCACAAATATATTGCAGGCAGCATGGAATGAGACTTAAATTAAATGTTGTATCCTATCCGGCTGACTGACCAGAATGCTTAGGGGCGACAGTAAAATCAGATATGCAGGGATTGGGAAACGGCCAAGAACGGAACTGTGTGGTCGCCCAGCAGTAACCGGCGACGCCGACAATGGAGCTACGTCACGGCCTATTGTGTTTCGTAAACCGTTGACATCACAGAGCCATTACGTCAACAATCAGTTGACGTCAGAAAGAATTCAGGTTATCTGTATTGAAGAGGGCCGGCGGGATTGAGGAATACCTTGATAGGTGATAGGCTAATAGTGACAAGACAGGGACGGGAGTTGGACTCGGATAATTCACTTGTGTACAGAGAAGGTTAGACATTTTGATGGAGGTCCAATATGATTACATGGGTGCGTGATAAGAGCTATAGGTGCGTTGCGGTCAGTTTTAGCGTTTTTTGTGTAATGTATAGTAGTACTCATACGGGGCCTCTATTTCGTCCGGTATATTCTTAAAATTTCTATTATGGAAGCTGTCTGCACCACAAATATATTGCAGGCAGCATGGAATGAGACTTAAATTAAATGTTGTATCCTATCCGGCTGACTGACCAGAATGCTTAGGGGCGACAGTAAAATCAGATATGCAGGGATTGGGAAACGGCCAAGAACGGAACTGTGTAGTCGCCCAGCAGTAACCGGCGACGCCGACAATGGAGCTACGTCACGGCCTATTGTGTTCTCTAAACCGTTGACATCACAGTGCCATTACGTCAACAATCAGTTGACGTCAGAAAGAATTCAGGTTATCTGTATTGAAGAGGGCCGGCGGGATTGAGGAATACCTTGATAGGTGATAGGCTAATAGTGACAAGACAGGGACGGGAGTTGGACTCGGATAATTCACTTGTGTACAGAGAAGGTTAGACATTTTGATGGAGGTCCAATATGATTACATGGGTGCGTGATAAGAGCTATAGGTGCGTTGCGGTCAGTTTTAGCGTTTTTGTGTAATGTATAGTAGTACTCATACGGGGCCTCTATTTCGTCCGGTATATTCTTAAAATTTCTATTATGGAAGCTGTCTGCACCACAAATATATTGCAGGCAGCATGGAATGAGACTTAAATTAAATGTTGTATCCTATCCGGCTGACTGACCAGAATGCTTAGGGGCGACAGTAAAATCAGATATGCAGGGATTGGGAAACGGCCAAGAACGGAACTGTGTAGTCGCCCAGCAGTAACCGGCGACGCCGACAATGGAGCTACGTCACGGCCTATTGTGTTCTCTAAACCGTTGACATCACAGAGCCATTACGTCAACAATCAGTTGACGTCAGAAAGAATTCAGGTTATCTGTATTGAAGAGGGCCGGCGGGATTGAGGAATACCTTGATAGGTGATAGGCTAATAGTGACAAGACAGGGACGGGAGTTGGACTCGGATAATTCACTTGTGTACAGAGAAGGTTAGACATTTTGATGGAGGTCCAATATGATTACATGGGTGCGTGATAAGAGCTATAGGTGCGTTGCGGTCAGTTTTAGCGTTTTTGTGTAATGTATAGTAGTACTCATACGGGGCCTCTATTTCGTCCGGTATATTCTTAAAATTTCTATTATGGAAGCTGTCTGCACCACAAATATATTGCAGGCAGCATGGAATGAGACTTAAATTAAATGTTGTATCCTATCCGGCTGACTGACCAGAATGCTTAGGGGCGACAGTAACATCAGATATGCAGGGATTGGGAAACGGCCAAGAACGGAACTGTGTAGTCGCCCAGCAGTAACCGGCGACGCCGACAATGGAGCTACGTCACGGCCTATTGTGTTCTCTAAACCGTTGACATCATTAGAGCCATTACGTCAACAATCAGTTGACGTCAGAAAGAATTCAGGTTATCTGTATTGAAGAGGGCCGGCGGGATTGAGGAATACCTTGATAGGTGATAGGCTAATAGTGACAAGACAGGGACGGAGTTGGACTCGGATAATTCACTTGTGTACAGAGAAGGTTAGACATTTTGATGGAGGTCCAATATGATTACATGGGTGCGTGATAAGAGCTATAGGTGCGTTGCGGTCAGTTTTAGCGTTTTTGTGTAATGTATAGTAGTACTCATACGGGGCCTCTATTTCGTCCGGTATATTCTTAAAATTTCTATTATGGAAGCTGTCTGCACCACAAATATATTGCAGGCAGCATGGAATGAGACTTAAATTAAATGTTGTATCCTATCCGGCTGACTGACCAGAATGCTTAGGGCGACAGTAACATCAGATATGCAGGGATTGGGAAACGGCCAAGAACGGAACTGTGTAGTCGCCCAGCAGTAACCGGCGACGCCGACAATGGAGCTACGTCACGGCCTATTGTGTTCTCTAAACCGTTGACATCACAGAGCCATTACGTCAACAATCAGTTGACGTCAGAAAGAATTCAGGTTATCTGTATTGAAGAGGGCCGGCGGGATTGAGGAATACCTTGATAGGTGATAGGCTAATAGTGACAAGACAGGGACGGAGTTGGACTCGGATAATTCACTTGTGTACAGAGAAGGTTAGACATTTTGATGGAGGTCCAATATGATTACATGGGTGCGTGATAAGAGCTATAGGTGCGTTGCGGTCAGTTTTAGCGTTTTGTGTAATGTATAGTAGTACTCATACGGGGCCTCTATTTCGTCCGGTATATTCTTAAAATTTCTATTATGGAAGCTGTCTGCACCACAAATATATTGCAGGCAGCATGGAATGAGACTTAAATTAAATGTTGTATCCTATCCGGCTGACTGACCAGAATGCTTAGGGGCGACAGTAACATCAGATATGCAGGGATTGGGAAACGGCCAAGAACGGAACTGTGTAGTCGCCCAGCAGTAACCGGCGACGCCGACAATGGAGCTACGTCACGGCCTATTGTGTTCTCTAAACCGTTGACATCACAGTGCCATTACGTCAACAATCAGTTGACGTCAGAAAGAATTCAGGTTATCTGTATTGAAGAGGGCCGGCGGGATTGAGGAATACCTTGATAGGTGATAGGCTAATAGTGACAAGACAGGGACGGGAGTTGGACTCGGATAATTCACTTGTGTACAGAGAAGGTTAGACATTTTGATGGAGGTCCAATATGATTACATGGGTGCGTGATAAGAGCTATAGGTGCGTTGCGGTCAGTTTTAGCGTTTTGTGTAATGTATAGTAGTACTCATACGGGGCCTCTATTTCGTCCGGTATATTCTTAAAATTTCTATTATGGAAGCTGTCTGCACCACAAATATATTGCAGGCAGCATGGAATGAGACTTAAATTAAATGTTGTATCCTATCCGGCTGACTGACCAGAATGCTTAGGGGCGACAGTAACATCAGATATGCAGGGATTGGGAAACGGCCAAGAACGGAACTGTGTAGTCGCCCAGCAGTAACCGGCGACGCCGACAATGGAGCTACGTCACGGCCTATTGTGTTCTCTAAACCGTTGACATCATTAGAGCCATTACGTCAACAATCAGTTGACGTCAGAAAGAATTCAGGTTATCTGTATTGAAGAGGGCCGGCGGGATTGAGGAATACCTTGATAGGTGATAGGCTAATAGTGACAAGACAGGGACGGAGTTGGACTCGGATAATTCACTTGTGTACAGAGAAGGTTAGACATTTTGATGGAGGTCCAATATGATTACATGGGTGCGTGATAAGACCTATAGGTGCGTTGCGGTCAGTTTTAGCGTTTTTGTGTAATGTATAGTAGTACTCATACGGGGCCTCTATTTCGTCCGGTATATTCTTAAAATTTCTATTATGGAAGCTGTCTGCACCACAAATATATTGCAGGCAGCATGGAATGAGACTTAAATTAAATGTTGTATCCTATCCGGCTGACTGACCAGAATGCTTAGGGGCGACAGTAAAATCAGATATGCAGGGATTGGGAAACGGCCAAGAACGGAACTGTGTAGTCGCCCAGCAGTAACCGGCGACGCCGACAATGGAGCTACGTCACGGCCTATTGTGTTCTCTAAACCGTTGACATCATTAGAGCCATTACGTCAACAATCAGTTGACGTCAGAAAGAATTCAGGTTATCTGTATTGAAGAGGGCCGGCGGGATTGAGGAATACCTTGATAGGTGATAGGCTAATAGTGACAAGACAGGGACGGAGTTGGACTCGGATAATTCACTGTGTACAGAGAAGGTTAGACATTTTGATGGAGGTCCAATATGATTACATGGGTGCGTGATAAGAGCTATAGGTGCGTTGCGGTCAGTTTTAGCGTTTTTGTGTAATGTATAGTAGTACTCATACGGGCCTCTATTTCGTCCGGTATATTCTTAAAATTTCTATTATGGAAGCTGTCTGCACCACAAATATATTGCAGGCAGCATGGAATGAGACTTAAATTAAATGTTGTATCCTATCCGGCTGACTGACCAGAATGCTTAGGGCGACAGTAAAATCAGATATGCAGGGATTGGGAAACGGCCAAGAACGGAACTGTGTAGTCGCCCAGCAGTAACCGGCGACGCCGACAATGGAGCTACGTCACGGCCTATTGTGTTCTCTAAACCGTTGACATCACAGAGCCATTACGTCAACAATCAGTTGACGTCAGAAAGAATTCAGGTTATCTGTATTGAAGAGGGCCGGCGGGATTGAGGAATACCTTGATAGGTGATAGGCTAATAGTGACAAGACAGGGACGGGAGTTGGACTCGGATAATTCACTTGTGTACAGAGAAGGTTAGACATTTTGATGGAGGTCCAATATGATTACTGCCTTGCGGTCAGTTTTAGCGTTTTTGTGTAATGTATAGTAGTACTCATACGGGGCCTCTATTTCGTCCGGTATATTCTTAAAATTTCTATTATGGAAGCTGTCTGCACCACAAATCATATTGCAGGCATCGCATGGAATGAGTCTACCAAACTCGTACTGAATTCAAATGTTGTATCCGTCATCCGGCTGACTGCTGAAGACCGTAGAATTGCGTGTCTCCGTGTTTGCCCTGAGTGAAGTCAGGAGTCGGTCTCTTTTCAATCAACTTCCACAAGCCTCGACCTTCCAGGCTGCTGAAATTCGCCTTGAGAACCTCACTGTCGAAGGCGAAGTCATAATGCCCCATCAGAATGTGCCCTCCTGTCGAACAGAAACACAATCAGCGAAAAATTGATTGAATATCGTTGTGTGCCACTATATAAGGTCGTGTGATGTGGAGTTTAACGTCACCTTCAAGGTCATTGCAAATATATTATCGCGCGTGTTTGCCTGACTGCCTGTGTGTGCATGTGCGTGCGTGCGTGCGTGTGTGCGTGGACGTGTGCGTATTTGTAACAATATTATACACATTTTTCAACTACATATAGAGCGTCACATATAGGCGGAGGCACAATCTTGGAATCTGAAAGGCAAGTATTTTCAAGTATGATATATGTTGTCTCATACCTAGGACGTATATCTAGTACTCAGTACGCCGTATGTTAGTCCAATTCAGATGGCCCTGAAGTTTGACACAAAGTATCACAGATGTATGAGCGTTAATTGTGGGGCAAATGAGTCAATGAGATAACATGTTAACTGGGTCAAGTTCACTAGGTTACAATACAGAAAACAAGTGCAATTATTAGCATTTTTCAGTATGCCCTGTGGGCTTTCGAAGCAGTGTTGCTCTCTCAGGACAGACGATCTGTCCGTTGAGCCGGTCTACATTATTCAGGAAACAGTGAGTGACTATAAGTGAATCCTGTTTACGGTCAGCCATTTGCAAGCTATACGACAGCATCCTGTTATATTTGAATCTGCCATCTGCCAGAGAGTTCAATGATTATGAGGATCAGCCTTGACCCACGACATCGGGTCATCGACAGACATTAGAGGTGAGGTGAAATTGGGTTTAACGTCGTGCTTGAGAATATTTCGCTCATATGACGACGTGCATGCGTGTGTATGTGTATGTGCGGCTGCTTGTACTAGCCCAGACTAAAGCTGGTTTTAGAGTGCTAGCCCACCGAGATACCATGCCGCAGTGAAGCATGAATACCCCACTCAGACACATAATGCTCAATCTCCAGGCCGACCAGTCCTTGTTGTACCCATTAATGCCGAGCGAGGGACAGGGACCAACAAGTGCCATATTTTAACGTCTTTTGGTATGACGGGGTCGGGGATCGAACCCGCGACTTCCGCTCTCCGGGCGGACGCTCTAACCACTACACCACGGAGGCGGTCGACAGACATTAGAAGCCTATTGTCATCCCTCGAGAAACAAAGGGCGGTGGGAATGCTGATCCTTCTCCACAATCCCTGTGAGCTGCTTCCAGGAAGTCTGAGTATTAGGCTGTAGCTCACCTGGCTTCACAACACGCGCTAGCTCCTCCAGGGCCTTCACGGGGAGTTTCTTAAAAATCTCTAAACTCAACGCAGACATAGTCACTGCGGAATAGGTATCTGAAAGGAATGGACATGGTGTTAACACGAAATACTTCATAATGAATATAGCCATTTCCACGATTATAACGCTAATGCGATAAAACCATTTCAATATTCACAAGAAACCCGTGATAAAAGAGTCGAACGAGTACATTTGACTGTAATATGAGCATGTGTTTATGAATCAGAATCAAATATTGACCACACCAGGTGTTCGCGAAAGAGGTGCACCTGCAGATGCAAGTCAGTTTCTTCACATATCATCGGCAGTTATGCATCGATGATTCTGTTACAACCACTAACAGTTTATTCATAACATTGACACGTACTAATACTTCCGACAACAACACCCGCACTATATAAAGTATGTAGCTACCCCACCTTATTCCCAACAACCCAGCCCGTATCACTGATACAATGTATCCGTTTATTAACTCATCCGACCTGACCACCTGCGTTATGTGCTGCGTTTTACCCCTTACTTCCCCAAGACACTGAACCCACCGTTCACAATATCAAAGGTGTTTTCCCCAACCAGGTCGCAGATGTAACGTCCGTATAAATTGTTTCGTTTTGCTTCTGCCAGCATCTGCTCCGACGGTTCCAGTCCATCATTGTTGACGAAGCCCTTCTTCCTCAGCTGAAACAAGACGTGTGTTCTATGTCCTCTGGTAACTATTGTAACAGTCGTTATGTATGAAAACCCAACAAGTTAACGCATATTGCGCCGTCTCATCGCCCTGGTCCATGGCTTATGTGGCCATTTTCCCGCAGTAATATTGCTGAAATATTGAAATATTGCTTTAGCCGACGTAAAACATTTGATACATCTTGCAGGCTGCGTTGCCTCCTGGGGAGGGAGGGAAGTGATCTAGAATACCAGCAAAAGCTGTTGACTATTCTTGTCAATGAATCTTTATAACTCTTCCACTGCGGCACACTGCAATAACCTCCTTCAACTATCTCATCAGCCATGCCTAATAACAGCATAGCCCTTATTTACTGAGAGGGTAACTTTAACGTGACTGTACTTGTATATAATTAGAACATGTCTCACCTTGACTCTCAGCATTCCTGATGTTACTCCTGTATGTCTAGATTAATCAAGTTTCTGCTTGATGCGTGCATGGACCTACATCACATCACATGATTTACATGATTCTACTTGATTTACTTCAGGTATAGTGTACATATATCACACGTCTACCTCATGTATAACATGTCTCTACCTCGATAGCGACCAGTCCTGTCCCTGCCGCCACATCCAACACTCTCACATTCTCTCGGCCGCTGGGATGCAATTCCGCCAGAATTGTTGCAAGCGTCCTGGGACCCATGTAATCCACAGACCCTAGTGCCTGTAAAGAGATGTGAAAATATCTGTTCTATGCAACATTATATCAATCAAACATGTGGATAACATAACAACTTTCAGAGTTTTCCGTGTACTGGCACACATGGAACTGGCCACAGTCCTCAGTTCTACGAATTCAACGAGATGGCATAAATTAAAGGGAAGGCAAACTTCTACAATCATTACGCTATTTGTGATCATCATTGAGTTACTAAGTGAACTGCGGTTGGTTGTTTTATCATTCCATTCACTGGAATGGCAGAGGGTATGCATTCATTTGCAAGGATAACCGAGGTATGAATTCATTTACAAGAATAACAAAAGGTATTCATTCATTTACAAGGGTAACAAAAGGTATGCATTCATTTGCATGATAACAGAAGGTATGCTTTCATTTACATGGATAACAGAAGGTATGCATTCCTTTACATTGATAACCGAGGGTATGCATTCATTTGAAAGGATAACAGAAGGTACTCATTTATTTACAAGGGTAACAAAAGGTATTCATTCATGTACAAGGGTAACAAAAGGTATGCATTCATTTCCAAGGATAACAGAAGGTATTCATTTACAAGGGTAACAGGTATTCAGATGGTGTATGCATTCATTTGCAGGGATAACAGATGGTGAGCTTTTATTTACAAGGATTCATATAACAGGTTTGATTGTATGTTGTTTAGCGCGATACCCAGCAATATTCCAGCTAAATGACAGCGGACTGTAAATAATCGATTGTAGTCAAGAAACTCCAGTGACTGGAATAATGAGTATCATTCTAGGCAGTTACACGGGATACGAGGACATATCAGCCAAGTCAGCGAACAATACCACAGGATCCGGTTGTCGCCTCTTACAACCGAGTTCTTCTAACTCGGATCTTCACGGAACTGTTACAGGTACAAGAAGTCCTCCTGAGGCCTAATCTACATACAGTCAGAAATACAATATTTCTTGGCACCATCTGTCACGGGCAGTTAACAGTTACTGTGCAGTTGTACCTGATGATGGGGCCAGAACAGGCCTGAAACGTTGTACTCAAGAATAAAAAGAACATGTAACCCAGAAAAGTCTCTATGTTCATGATATGTATTAAACTTGGTTTGCTATAGCTACATTATGAAAACAGAATTAATTCCGAGACTATTTGTTCCATCACTGTGGCACCGTATAATAGTTTAATACCAAACGTTACTAGCTGTATAAGGGCGAAGCAGTCGACTTGAAATGTTACACATAATGCTGATTATTATACTGACAATAAATAGGCAGATCATATTTGCCTCTAACGGTATGTCCTCCCGCTACCTAGTCCTACTGTAATACGTTTCACATGACGATATCTATTTCCAGTGGCCAGATTACCATAGTTACAAGTACCAGTACATATTCACTGTTAAATAAGGACATTCCTTACATCTATACCACCCATCAAAAGTTTAGACTCACTAGTGTAAATGTAGCCACATACTTCAATCAACTGTTCTAAACTAGATTTTGCAAAATATCCCATACTGTTTATAGGTACTGTTTACACATGAACTGATGTATTGTACAACAAATTCGTAACGTTGAAAAGATGTCTGTCATGCGTTCAATAAATGATGAAACTCACTGAAAATTGGCGAATTCTTAACAAAACTTTACACCAAAACGCAGCTCTTCACATGGACGATATTTGCACATGCTTTTCAGTAATCTGATGCATGATCCTCGTGCAATTTATCTGCACAAGGTTTGCAGTTGGTTCCCCATGTTACAGGGGAAATTCATCTTCCATTCACACGCACACACACGCACGCACGCACGCACACACGCACACGCACGCACGCACACACACACAACAAAAACAACAACAACAAAACAACATATAGTGAGTGCTTCAAGTGAGTCTGAACTTTTGATTGGTAATATAGTTCAAACTCTCTCGAATACCAGTCTGTGACATGCACTATACCTCATTGTACTTGCTGCTGACTTCGTCGAATCTGTTGATAATGCTCTTATTGTCCATCCCTTTTTCAGTGATGTGATCCAGGAATTTATTCCCTTCACTGACGGTAGTATAGGTCGTTTCCGCCATCCTCGCTGAGCAGAAAGATCTTATAAACCTGCAACACAAGACATGATATGATCTTAGAAACCTGCAACACAAGACGTGATATGATCTTATAAACCTGCAACACAAGACGTGATATGATCTTAGAAACCTGCATCACAAGACTTGATACGATCTTAGAAACCGTGATACGATCTTAGAAACACACAAGACGTGATATGATCTTAGAAACCTGCAACACAAGACGTGATATGATCTTAGAAACCTGCAACACAAGACTTGATATGATCTTAGAAACCTGCAACACAAGACGTGATATGATCTTAGAAACCTGCAACACAAGACGTGATATGATCTTAGAAACCTGCAACACAAGACGTGATACGATCTTACGATCTTAGAAACCTGCAACACAAGACGTGATATGATCTTAGAAACCTGCAAACAAGACAAGACCTGTGATATGATCTTAGAAACCTGCATCACAAGACGTGATACGATCTTAGAAACCTGCAACACAAGACGTGATATGATCTTAGAAAGCAACACAAGTGATATGATCTTAGAAACCTGCAACACAAGACGTGATATGATCTTAGAAACCTGCAACACAAGACGTGATATGATCTTAGAAACCTGCAACACAAGACGTGATATGATCTTAGAAACCTGCAACACAAGACGTGATATGATCTTAGAAACCTGCAACACAAGACGTGATATGATCTTAGAAACCTGCAACACAAGACGTGATATGATCTTAGAAACCTGCAACACAAGACGATATGATATGATCTTGGAAACCTGCAACACAAGACGTGATATGATCTTAGAAACCTGCAACACAAGACGTGATATGATCTTAGAAACCTGCAACACAAGACGTGATACGATCTTAGAAACCTGCAACACAAGACGTGAAATGATCTTGGAAACCTGCAGCAGCTCCTAGAATCCCATGTGCGTGGAGCAGCTCCTAAAACCCCATGTACCTGCAGCAGCTCCTAGAATCATATGTGCCTGGAGAAGCTCCTAGAATCCTATGTGCCTGGAGCAGCTCCTAAAACCCCATGTACCTGCTGCAGCTCCTAGAATCCCATGTACCTGCAGCAGCTCCTAGAATCCTATGTACCTGGAGCAGCTCCTAGAATCCCATGTCCCTGCTGCAGCTCCTAGAATCCTATGTGCCTGGAGCAGCTCCTAGAATCCTATGTGCCTTGATTAGCTGATCCAAGCTTTTGGAATACTAAATGAACGGAATTAACTCACAGAATTCTAACTTTACTGAGTGCGAAACTATTTCTAGTTAACTTGAAACTTCAGTCTTAGGGTCAACTGCGAGTTGCAACTCCTCGTGACCCACCTGTGTCCACTGTAGCTCCTAGTTCCCGACTGCAAGATCCTAGAGTTATACCTCTGTAACCGTCAGCGCCCGAAGCCTCAAGACTTCTAAATCTAACAACTCGTCTCTGTTTCAGACAAAGCGGCGTCGATCGTCCCTACATCTGACATACATTCAACAGTCATTACCCCGTCACGTGTTGGCTCCGGGGACATGTAAAAGGTTAATATGTAACCCCGAGCCATGTTTTTTCTCCTAACTTGACAAGTAACCCATTTTGTGATGTCACAACAATTCGTACCTTCAGAACTCAAGTGACAAAAAAATAATTCATGACTTTAAAGAACGACGTCCATCTTCGGACCTCATGTCGGGTGCCCAATGCAGCGAAAGGAGACAGACTCAGGTCACAATACACATGTTTATGTACAACAGCATGTCTTAAAGTATGTTTCAAATTTATAAAAATGTGAAGAAATTCAGAAATATTACATTCATACCTATGATGAAAAAGAACGAGATATATGTCTTCAGTGAAAAAAGAGCAGGTGGGTGGGTGCATCATGCTGCTACGGTCATCAGGTGATAGGCACAAGGGAGTGTACACTGACCATTTCAAACAACTAATCACGCATGCATTCGGAAATATTAAAGGTAAATCCTAAAACTAAGACTAACATGACCCACGTGTACAAAACGATCTAAGCGCTAAGAACTTCTTAAGTCTGTGTGAGAGTATGGAAGTTATGATCATCGTTAAGATCGCTTTGTGCAAGTGGGAGCATTACTCTACTTTGTGATATCATGCGATTACTCAATGGCGATTGACTACTGATAAAGTGAACATCGACTTGTCCAAAAAGCAGTAGCCACGCTTGAAGAATACCTATTGGTTAATATACTGCTGTGCTAAACATTTGACTCATACTACCCATTTGAAGGCTACTACATATTTGAAGGCTACTAAACATTTGACTCAAACTTCACATTTGAAGGCTACTAAACATTTGACTCATACTTCACATGTGAAGGCTATTAAACATTTGACTCATACTTCACATTTGAAGGCTACTTATACATTTGACTCATAGATCACATTTGAAGGTTACTAAATATTTGACTCATACTTCACATTTGAAGGCTACTAAACATTTGATTCATGCTTCACATTTGAAGGCTACTAAACATTTGAAGAATACTAAACATCTATACATTCTGAAATTTTCTTAATGTAGGCAGTCGGTAACATGAACAGTGCATTATGAAGGGACCTGGAATGGTCTCGAAACGTCGTGAGGGAAATTATAAAGAAGTTTAATCCATAAAAATATCTTGGACATCAGTGCATTATTCGTTTTGGTGACTTTTCCAGATTGCTAAAGGCGAACATAAGAATCATTCAATATACAGATTTACCTTTTCAAAACGTTGTGGCCACGCATCTTGAATACCCGATGGTCAGCGAACTGCTTTATGCCTGTAGGATAATACTATGTCATTAATGTTCTATTTACTCTGGTGGTGAAGTGTGTCCTTTCGTCAGAATCTGCCGGTCCACGGATTTTTTATGCAAGCTCACTTGCCAGCTCGTGAGTGTTCAAGTATCTGTGTTCTTGTACATTTGGGGGCGGCGGGGGAAGCCAAATAGTTAAAGCGTTCGCTCATCACGCCGAAGACCTCACATGGGTACTATGTGTGAAGCCCATTTCTGGTGCCCCCCGTCGTGATATTGCTGGAAAAAGCGGATACACATAACGACGAGGGTCCACACGCACGCACGCACATATATATTGTTTGTTTATGACCCTTCACTAACAAACCGTTATATTTTGGGTGACCCTCCCCCGATTTTCTAACCCATCACCTCCACAATACCCTACTGATCTCTATCGGATGGACACGTCTAACTGTTGTATGGTTTCATTGGCTCATCAGAGTTCGCCATACAACCTCGCAATAGGGACATGCCAGTGGCTGCATATTTACCATGCAGAGAGAATACGTGTCTCTCAGTAGTTTTGGATTTAAATAATACAACGGATACGCATAACGACGAGGGTCGACAGTGAGCGTGCACACTGACAGTCTTGATGTGTAACAGCTATATAATGGTATCAAAGCCCTTGTATGGCAAGAAGCTTCATGATGTAGGCATACCAGCTTGTTAAGACAATGTAACTGGATGATGACTCTGCCGAAAGCTCCTCGACACTCTCCTTTAAGTATAGGAGTTTGTGAGCGAGTGAGTATAGTTTTACGCCGCATATAACAATATTCCAGCAATATCACGGCTGGGTACACTCCACAAAATGGACTTCACATATTGCGCCCATGTGGGGAATCGAACTCTGGTCTTCGGCGTGACGAGCGAACGTTTAACCACTCTGCAACCCCGCCGCCCCGTTGACTATTACAGTAGCTGCACACACCGGAAATAATAACACAAGGAGGTTGTAGAGAGGTTGCCGTTTTTTAAGAACCACAATCAGAATTATTCATGTGATCGCATTACAGGCCGGCTTGTTTGTAAATTGTTTCTCAATTTTCGACGAAATAAAGTTGTTATGGGGAGTGTATTTTTTCTCATACTTAACGTTTTTTTCTGGGATTTGTTTCTTTGACTCAACTCGTAACACCGACATGAATGCGTGAGAATGGTTTACAATGATTTTGCCAATATTTCAGCAATATAACAGCAGGCTATAAGTAGAACCCCGGCATTTTGCCCTCGGTTCGGTATACCGTGGTGCAATTAAAAAAAATCGGTATTTTCGGTTTTCGTACCGTCATTTTATCAACCCTTTTAAACCTTTTATTCTGTGTGTGTGTGTGTGTGTGTGTGTGTGTGTGTGTGTGTGTGTGTGTGTGTGTGTGTGTGTGTGTGTGTGTGTGTGTGTGTGTGTGTGTGTGTGTGTGTGTGTGTGTGTGTGTGTGTGTGTGTGTGTGTGTGTGTGTGTGTGAATAATGGTTAAAGCGTTGGCTTGTTACGCCGAAGACCCGGGTTCGATTCTCCACATGGGTACAATGTGTGAAGCCCATTTCTGGTGTCCCCCGCCGTGACATTGCTGAAATATTGCTAAAAGCGACTTAAAACCATACTCACTCAATTCGAGGTGACGAGAGGGCACTTTGAGCACAAGGATAACCCGGGTTAGTGAGTGAATGACGTGATCGTGCTGCAACGTCATCAGGTGGGGACGCCATGGTGTCCACAATAACCATTTGAAAAAACTCACCATGTATGCGTTTGGAAACGGTATAGGTGGTCTTCATACTATGGAGATAATTCTCTTTGGTGCTATATTTAACAAAATTATTGAACGCCATTTATAGTCTGTCAACTTTTGGGACTGCATTTTTTGCAAATATGTTTTTTGTTATTCGTTTCAATGTAAAAGTGTTTACATGTACCTTCATGTTTCTCTGTGACTTAACAGGAACCTATGTTTCAATGTCACGGTGATCGCCTACCTATACCTATATAGCTATCACTATTTTTTCGTGATTGTCTTGATCAACTCATTCCGGATGTGGGTTCAATTGATGTAATGTCTGACAGGTGACGTAAGCATATGTACATGACCTCGGGTCAGATTTATTACGGATATCGAGTTTGTACACCTTGATAACAAGTTAACACTCCTTTCAGTTTCCTTCCTGAAAACTTATAACCGCTTCTTTAAATCATGCTCGTGGGACAACACAGTGCACGTGTCTGTCCTGGGTCAGTGATTGTGATTTACACAGGGTGACACAAGAGTACATCTGACCCGAGGTCATGCACGTGAAACACATACTGACGTCACCTGTCAGACATTACATCAATTGAACCCACATCCGGAATGAGTTGATCAAAACAATCACGAAAAAATAGTGATAGTTATATAGGTAACATGTTTTAACAGGCGATCACCGTGACATTAAAAATTGGTTCCTGTTAAATCACGGAGAAACATAAAGGTACATGTAAACACTTTTACATTAAAACGAATGAGAAAAAAAGATATTTGCAAACATATGCAGTCCCAAAGGTTCGGTTGACAGACTGTATCTGGTGATTAAATGCACATCTGCTTGAACAAAAAGCTGGATCCACTCTTGACGCATGCATTCAGGTTAAAATACTTATTAACATACTAAACATCCGAAGCATGCTAAATATGTATACATTCGCAAATGCCACATATATGGCGGATCGGCAACGTTCACAATCACAGCACATAAGTCCATTTGGGACGTATTTCAGCAAAATTACTCAATTACTCAAAGCGAACATACGACTCATAAAATTCACACCTATGTTTTTTCGAAACGCTGTGTCTTCTTGTGTACCTGTAGGTCAAAATCTTCTATATACCTGTTGATTGATACAGAACTATTTAGTTCTATAGTAATAGTACACTGTTTACTCCGTAGACAGGAAGTCTGTGCTTCAGTCAGAATCGGCTGTTCTCTAGATCATGTAATATGCAAGCTGACACGCGCCCTCGTGTGTGTCAAAGTTCGACGTGCAGCATGGATTTCACGGGATGTTGTACGGGAGAGACAGTAACAGAACACGAAATGTTGGCTTGCACACGTTTACAATTCAAAGAAGACGAGCTGCCAGATGAATTGTGTCGAGAAAACGGTACATCGAAATTTTACTACAGCGAGTGACAGTTTACCACGCAGCTGTCAGCGTAAAACATATTCCAGTTATTTATCACGACAGCCTGAAGAAGACAGATAATCGATAGCATGGACAACAGCCCGTGTCGTCAGGGCACGATGGAGCGGACAGAACATTAATAAATATTCTAATTCCCAGTATCCAGGAACATAAAAACTATTTAATGTCAGCGTAGAACACTTTCCTTCAAATACAATGAATACTCGACCATACAGAAGATATATTTCAAGTTTCCTGTTGGTATGATGCATGAATGGAACCTTGGTCTCTGGTGTGAAGATGCTAGGCTTTAAACAATCATCACTTCAGCCTAACCCATAACCCATATGTACTACGTAATCAGTAACAAATAACACGATATTCTACCTACACAGAAAATAGAAAAAAGACCAAAATTTAATTCACAATACTCACATCATTTCTTGAATGAATGATGGGGACGATCAGCAGCAACCCCGGTTTGCTAATGACGATAAGCAAGTCGTGTAATGGTGGTAGGATGACAGCCCAGTTGTCTAGCTTCAGCGGTTGCAGAGCTGTAGTCTACGTTAGTCTACGCATAGTTTGTGTGACGTGTACACTTCCTGTACTGAACTGTTTTTTGGCACAAACGTTTATAAAGGATCCCCAGAGTGAAATGCATGCTTTCCATCCAGAACCGTCGATGCACGTGCTAAAATTATGGTATTGCTACATTGTGAGTTTTTTGTGCGAATGTTTCGTATGGACGTCAAATTGCATTACATCATCTCATCTGGGATCATTACGTCACTTTATCATGAACGTTCCATAAACATGAACGCTTACTTTTATGAGATTTCATTTTTTCGAAACTTGCGTTTCTTTTGCTGTTCAGTACATGATATCTAGTACACACAGGATATAACCAGACATGGGTTCAATTACTGTGAAATGTAATTAATTAAATTACAATTACTTTGATTTTCCTCAATTACAATTACAATTACACCTTAAATTAAAATGTAATTAATTAAATTACAATTACATTACAAATTACTTTGTTAAAAATACAAAACAAAAACAAAACAAATATATTCCTTTAATCAACAAGATATCGATGTTGGTAAACAGTGGTCACTAAATCCAATTCATATTTTTGTCATCAAAAAGTGAAATGCAAAATTAGATTATATCTACAATGTACACTATTTGATCAAATTTGTATTTTGCATATTTATTTGGGCTTATTATCAAATACACACCTCTATCATCTCTTGTTGCAAAAAGCACTTTGTCCACCACTGTTATAATATACCTTAGGTGTACTGTATCATGACTAATCATTACAGGCCTACATTACAATATATAATCAGCCGGTCTCTCTATCTGACATAATCCACATTGACATACTAAAGGACTTGTCAACTTGGATTTATGGCTTATTACCTTTCATGATTATAAAAAATAGGACTACAGTTCAGTAAGATTTTGAATATCATATACTATGAGAAATAAACAAAGAGGCCATTTTGATAGGAACTTGACTAATAGTACTGTTAATCCCCCATTTCCTCAAATACCAACCTACATTCAGTCATGCGTTACTGATTCCCTTTGTTTCACAAATGTGCAGATGGTGATAGTTACAAAGGTTTAGACATTCAAATCTCCTCAAAACTTAACACCTGCTAGAGTATATACCGACAACAAGCATCTTATTGAAAAACACTGCTTTGTCCTCCTTATTGTACAGAATATAATTGCAAGGGTTGCCTGATGACCATCAAAATACAAAAGTGAGATGTAATTTGATGTAATTGAAAAAGTAATTGAAAAATTCAATTACATTGAGAAATTAATTAATTAAATTACAAATCACATTTTGAACATTCAATTACAAATTACATGCAGTTACATAGATTTTTGTAATTAATTACATTCAATTACAATTACAAATTACAATTACCTCATGTCTGAATATAACCCAGGGACAAAATACGTGATATCCACTACACACACAGAATACATGGAATATGATACACATACAAAATACGTGATATCCACTACACACACAGAATACAGGGAATATAACACAGATACAAAATACGTGGCATCCACTACACACACAGAATGCAGGGAATATAACACAGATACTATACGTGATATCCACTACACACACAGAATACAGGGAATATAACACAGATACAAAATACGTGATATCCACTACACACACAGAATACAGGGAGTACGATACGTATACAAAATACGTGGCATCCACTACACACACAGAATGCAGGAAATATAACACAGATACAAAATACGTGATATCCACTACACACACAGAATACAGGGAGTACGATACGTATACAAGATGCGTGATATCCACTACACCCACAGAATACAGGGAGTACGATACGTATACAAAATACGTGGCATCCACTACACACACAAAATGCAGGGAATATAACCCAGATACAAAATACGTGATATCCACTACACACACAGAATACAGGGAGTACGATACGTATACAAAATACGTGGCATCCACTACACACCAAGAATACAGGGAATATAACACAGATACAAAATACGTGATGTCCACTACACACACAGAATGCAGGGAATATAACACAGATACTATACGTGATATCCACTACACACACAGAATACAGGGAATATAACAGATACAAAATACGTGATATCCACTACACACACAGAATACAGGGAATATAACACAGATACAAAATACGTGATATCCACTACACACACAGAATACAGGGAATATAACACAGATACAAAATACGTGATATCCACTACACACACAGAATACAGGGAGTACGATACATATACAAAATACGTGATATCCACTACACACACAGAATACAGGGAGTACGATACGTATACAAAATACGTGATATCCACTACACACACAGGATACAGGGAATATAACACAGATACAAAATACGTGATATCCACTACACACACAGAATACAGGGAATATAACACAGATACAAAATACGTGATATCCACTACACACACAGGATACAGGGAGTACGATACGTATACAAAATACGTGGCATCCACTACACACACAGAATACAGGGAATATAACACAGATACAAAATACCTGATATCCACTACACACACAGGATACAGGGAGTACGATACGTATACAAAATACGTGATATCCACTACACACACAGGATACAGGGAGTACGATACGTATACAAAATACGTGGCATCCACTACACACACAGAACACAGGGAATATAACACAGATACAAAATATGTGATATCCACTACACACAAAGAACGCAGGGAATATAACACAGATACAAAATACGTGATATCCACTACACACACAGAATACAGGGTGCACGATACATATACAAAATACATGATATCCACTACACCCACAGAATACAGGGAGTACGATACATATACAAAATACGTGATATCCACTACACACACAGAATACAGGGAGTACGATACGTATACAAAATACGTGATATCCACTACACACACAGAATACAGGGAGTACGATACATATACAAAATGCCTGATATCCACTACACACACAGAATACAGGAAATATAACACAGATGCAGCTATAGTCCGTTTGATTTCATTTGAAACCGATGAATTGTTCACAAACACAAAATCTAATAATTGCAACAAAACCAAATTTTGCACAGTCACATGAAATCGACAGACCAACTCGATCGACGATTTGTCTCATAATATTGGACACCCGAATAAAACAGTTGTTTAACAAACGATTATTATTTTGTTGTCACTTTTCGCTTTTTTCTACGAGGGGGGTCCACTTGCTGGTGAAACAGCCAGGTAATCAACAATCGTGTACAGTGAAATGTCAATTTCACACGTGCAACTCGTACACCTAGCTGTACATGATCTCTGCACTACACACACAGAAAATATAGTCAGAAATATATAAATTATCATGCATATAAATATACATATAGAATGCTATTATTTCAGACTGTCTATTAAACCCTTCGAAAAGATGAACGGCCCGTGCCACTTTAAAGTGATCGTCCTTAACATGTGCAAGTTCTCGGTTTCGAACTCATGCAGCAGTCGACGCTGGTAAGGTTTTGCGTCGCGGTAATAATTTTGAATTACCTCCCTTTATCAATATGGCAGCCGGAAGCTTGAACATGTGTGTTTTTCACATTGAGCACAAAGCAAATGACAAGATGTGGCTGATTTAAGTCGGTTCTAACAAAATGTGGGATGTTATGTCAACGCCAGATATTCCACATTTCCTTAAGATGAAAAGAATCAAACATGAGCAGATACAGTCTACTGTCTCTCATTATTTAAAGAGGAGGCACTTCATGGTGGGTTTGGAAGTCCGCTGTCAATACAATAGCACTAGCAGTGCACGCCGAAATCATTTGACTGTCTGTATTAGTCTTGGCTGTGTTATCCAAGAAAAGTGATAAAAAAAAGAAAAGTAGCCACCGCGATCACCCAAACGGACGTATATATCGTAAACCTGGCTAAAATTGGCGGATTTAAACGTGTTAAAAACAATGACAATTTGAACACTGAGAACATGGGACCATGTTGTAAGCTGTTTGAAACTCACTTTGTGTCAGTTGAACGTCGATATTGTATCCGTTTGCATTCATTGTATATATTTTAACACGATAGTAATATTTATGTTCGCAAGCCTATAATATTGTTATTGTGTATCTGCCTGGTCTAAAGCATTATACCTATATGGTCATTGTGGTGTTTTAGATGAATAACGGACTGGGGATTGGAATTAAAGGTTTAATCATTGAGGAGTACAAGCGACTCCATAGTCAGGCCAATCGCAGATGCCTCTGCGCGAGGCAGCGGTCCATAACTTCCGCTGTTGAAGGGAGGTGTCATTCTCGAGTTGTATAACACTGAGTGCTACAGACTACGTGATATTACAGTCATTGTAATGTTCTGACACATATGATGTTTGTCTTCACTAAATATTTAGATATTATGGGAGTAGTGCACTTTACCAGGTGCACTTTTTCAGATTAATCAGTGCTGCTGGGGTTCGAACGTGCTTTGCCGAATTACAGACTTCGTGAATTAGTGACGTAATTAGCAGACGTTCTACCTCGGGACCATGAGCTCCATCACAGTAAACCAGTGCTCGTTCAATGGGTCATTAGTACAGAAGTGAGACAGAAACGTGAGAAGTGAAAAAAATGGTGTGTTGTTGTTGAAAGCAGTGGTATGTTTTCATTTCTCACGCTTCCACCTCACTGTGCCACGCCCTTCCCATTCATTTTGTCTTTTCGCGCCATTGTTTCTTGGACTGTACTGATGAGTTCCGGATGGGGTGAAATGTGTTTCAATTGGATATAATAGGATTACACTGCTTTACGGTAAGGTCTAACCCTAAATAAGGACTGGAAAGGGTCCCTAACCCTAAGGATCAGAAAGGTTTCCTAACCGTAAGGATCGTAAAGGTCACCTAAGCCCTAACCCTAAGAATTGGAAAGGGTGCCATACCCTAACCCTAAACCTAAGGATTGTAAAGAGTGCCATACCCTAACCCTAAACCCTAATCCTAAGGATCATAAAGGGTTGTTTGTAAAGATGCATCAGCTCCGTAAGGATCAGAAAGGGTACCTAACCCTAAACCCTAAGGATGGTTGACTGACAGTGAAGAGAGACAGAGCAATTACCACAATATAGTGAGACAGTGCTGGAGACTGTGCAGTAGCCGATAATTGTCCCACAGCGAGCCGCAAGGGCTGCACCCGGTAAAGTGCACTCTAGCTGATATTATATATTTCAGGATGCAGAGGTTAGTGGGAAACGGGAGTGTGGAGCTACACAAGAGCTTAGTGAGGTGGCCCTCCATGGGAGCGTCAACTGCAACGGCAACACCGAGAATGTCCTCGCCTACAGCAGCATTTCTGGAGATGCAACAGCTTGTGATCAGCAGTTCACAAGGTTTGGCCATTAGACATGTTAGAGATACTGTTCGATAGAAAGGAAACATGTAGTAAATAGATAGTTTCTGCATTGTCGTGTAAACATTGCTCAAGCTGGTACAATTTAACATATGAATGCAGTTAACATTGTCATGAAAAATTGACTGAAATTGCAGTTGTCAAACTAGTTCTGTAGTTCAGCTTGTGAAAAGTATATGATCATAATATTGTTGATTTTGATTTCCAGGTTGAAGCATTTTGTACTGGATGCTGTAGAACCATACCAAGGAGAACTTCGAGGTCTTCTCTTCCCAATGTTTGTCCATGTCTACCTGGAACTTCTCTGCAATGGACATAAGACTCCAGGTATGCCATTAGCTTCAAGTCAACACAGAAAAAAACAGTGTAGAGTGATTACAAGGTGTGTCCATGTATATCGTGTTTGCAAACCGTAAAGATATATACAAATATGATAAAGATGATGATTGTTGTCCTTACTATTAATGTTGGCCCAGATGTGATTACTTACCATTGTTCACCATTCTTACAGACCACACATGAAAGTAATCGAAATATTAATGACATAAGCATAAAATGTTACATGTACAGACATGCCCCATCTTGATAAGATACTGCGCACTTTGATTACTTGGAAAGTGGAATATTGCTGACTGTAATGTTTGGTCATACTGAGGTGATGAAAGAAATTTGATTGTTTCTCTAGCCCATAAGTTTCATGATCGACATGTTTCACTGCTGAGAGAGGATGACAGTCACAAGGCACTGATCAAAGCGCTGCGGAAGATGGACACTAAACTAGATGTGGCCAACTCACAAGAGGTCGGGAATTTCAGGTTGGTCTGAATCTGTCTTTTTTCAAACACTGTTTCTCATTCATGTCTTGCTTACAACAGCTGATTGTTTAGACAACAGACATGAGAACTGCAGGGTATGACTGGTACACATTTGTGACATTGTAATATGACTGAAATACTGCAGGGTATGACTGGTACACATTTGTGACATGGTAATATGACTGAAATACTGCAGGGTATGACTGGTACACATTTGTGACATTGTAATATGACTGAAATACTGCAGGGTATGACTGGTACACATTTGTGACATGGTAATATGACTGAAATACTGCAGGGTATGACTGGTACACATTTGTGACATTGTAATATGACTGAAATACTGCAGGGTATGACTGGTACACATTTGTGACATTTGTGAAATACAGGGTATGACTGGTACATTTGTGACATTGTAATATGACTGAAATACTGCAGGGTATGACTGGTACACATTTGTGACATTGTAATATGACATGGTAATATGAAATACTGCAGGGTATGACTGGTACACATTTGTGACATGGTAATATGACGGAATTACTGCAGGTTATGACTGGTACACATTTGTGACATTGTAATATGACTGAAATACTGCAGGGTATGACTGGTACACATTTGTGACATTGTAATATGACTGAAATACTGCAGGGTATGACTGGTACACATTTGTGACATTGTAATGTGACTGAAATACTGCAGGGTATGACTGGTACACATTTGTGACATTGTAATATGACGGAATTACTGCAGGTTATGACTGGTACACATTTGTGACATTGTAATGTGACTGAAATACTGCAGGGTATGACTGGTACACATTTGTGACATTGTAATATGACTGAAATACTGCAGGGTATGACTGGTACACATTTGTGACATTGTAATATGACTGAAATACTGCAGGGTATGACTGGTACACATTTGTGACATGGTAATATGACTGAAATACTTTTCAAAACCCACCTCAAACGCTTATGTGATTATTTTTCTTCTTTCAGAGATAACAAGTTCAGCATCTCCTTGACTGAAGCCTGTCTGAATTACTTAATGAGGCACCTCAAGGTGGGTTACAATGTTGATTCTTGTCACTTTTATGGAGAAGTTTGGTCTTCTTTACTTTGTGAAGGCAGTCTCATTCAAACCAGATCTTTTACTGTGATACAACACATCTCAGGAAGCCTTGTCTGGTGAAACCTGAGTAAACTTTGACTACACAATAGGAATGAAAGTGTGCGTTCTTGAGCCTATCAAGCTTTTCAAAAACAATCTAGCTTAAATACAAAAAAATGGTACAAAAAATGCAAGTATGTTTTGGGTCTACTCCAATTTGGATGCAGGTATCATCTCTTTCAGAATCAGAAGAGGCAATGTGCTTAACATATCCACAACAAACATCATGATATGGATATATGTTTGTTTCTGAGATGCAGAAATATGTTCCTCTGAATGATTCACTCACCCATATGGAAAATCTAGACAACTCGATGACGATTGCAGGATCAGAAAGTTCAAATTATGTCACTTCCTATGAAGTTTTCTGTACAGAGAGGTATATCAGAGTAAAAGTCTCAATTTAAGGAGACAGCATCAACAGGTGGTTTCACAGACCATAAGGTTTCTGGTTCTCAGGATACTTTGCTTCTCATAAGAGCTGTCAAATGATGTTGAGCGGATGCAATGTGAGACTTTGTGCTTGCAATGTGTGACCTGGTGGTTGCAATGAGAGACCTGGTGGTTGCAATGAGAGACCTGGTGGTTGCAGTGTGAGACCTGGTGGTTGCAATGAGAGACCTGGTGGTTGCGATGTGAGACCTGGTGGTTGCAATGTGTGACCTGGTGGTTGCAATGTGAGACCTGGTGGTTGCAATGTGAGACCTGATGGTTGCAGTGTGAGACCTGGTGGTTGCAATGAGAGACCTGGTGGTTGCAGTGTGAGACCTGGTGGTTGCAATGAGAGAGACATGGTTGCAAGTATGTGACCTGACCTGTGGTTGCAATGAGAGACCTGGTGGTTGCAATGAGAGACCTGGTGGTTGCAATGAGAGACCTGGTGGTTGCAATGAGAGACCTGGTGGTTGCAGTGTGAGACCTGGTGGTTGCAGTGTGAGACCTGGTGGTTGCAGTGTGTGACCTGGTGGTTGCAATGAGAGACCTGGTGGTTGCAGTGTGAGACCTGGTGGTTGCAATGAGAGACCTGGTGGTTGCAATGAGAGACCTGGTGGTTGCACCTGGTGGTTGAGAGACCTGGTGGTTGCAATGACCTGACCTGGTGGTTTGCAATGAGAGACCTGGTGGTTGCAGTGTGAGACCTGGTGGTTGCAATGAGAGACCTGGTGGTTGCAATGTGTGACCTGGTGGTTGTGTGAGACCTGGTGGTTGCAATGTGTGACCTGGTGGACAATGGTGGTTGCAGTGTGACCTGGTGGTTGCAATGTGACCTGGTGGTTGCAGTGCCTTGTGGTTGCAATGAGAGACCTGGTGGTTGCAGTGTGTGACCTGGTGGTTGCAGTGTGAGACCTGGTGGTCTCTGACATAAACTGTTGCACTTATGCTTAGACCTTCCCACAGAGTACTCCTGCATCTTGCGTGACCTGGTGCCCTTTCATGGTGTGCACCTTCGTGATTGAGATCCTGGTGTTTGTGATCATTCGCAAGGCCTGTAATTTCCGTATGCTTGAGACCTCCCTGATGATCAAACGTGTCTCTGAGTCATGTTAAACTCAGTTGCCCTTATGCTTATCAGCTTGTGTGCTATCAACAGTGCAGATGGGGGATTTGACCATTTGCTTGTGTTAGTCAAGTTATAAGTCGATGTAACCACGTGTTCTGATTGGATAGAGATAATCTATGGGATCTTGCGCTAATTTTACAAGAACACTAGAACAGAGGTTAAGTAGGAAGATATGACAAGTGCGCTTATCAACACTCATGCAGACTTGACCATTTACAGATATCACCTGGCGATAGATCATCTTCTAATTCACTGACTAGTTGCGTAACATCAGCTTTATGATCGCTGGCCTTAGTTTCTGAAACCTTTTCAGATAATGGGAGGTTGATATTCTATATGTGTTTTCAGATGGAGGACAACATGATAATGCTACAGATCTTCAACCAATTCTTCCATGTGGAAGGTGAGTAACATAATTTTCAATTCCTTCTTGTGTTTTCTGGCCACTGCCATGTCCAAGTGGATAGGGTGCCTCCTCAGAGAGTCGAGGTCAGTGGTTTGATCCCTGCAGCAGCATCTGAAAATGTGTTAAAATGTGGTACTTGATGTTACCATGCCTGAGGATGAAACAAGAAGTAGCTGGCTCTGACTCACCATAATGTGCCTGAGTGGGGCATCTGTGTTTCGCTGTGGCATGGTGACTCAAGTGGGCGTATATGCTCATACTGTCTGTACTTATGTCCACCCTGAATTGAGATCGCTATAGGGGAACATACTTTTATAATTCTTTGTGTTAAATTATATTAACAAAAAAGGAGTTATGCCTGTATATTCCAGGTAGGCCCCAGAGTGTTTCAGCTGAAAAAAGTGTCCTGTGTCTGTCACATGAAAAGGGTCAGTCCACAGCCATCTTTATGTTTCTGTTTCCAAAGTGAAACAAAGAGTGAAAGCCAATATGAAGGCTACAAAAACGTATTTGATTGAAACTTCAAGGGTTAAAGTCACTATAAAGGCAACCACTTCATATGTCAGTGAAGCCCAGGGTTAGAGTCTATATGCAAGATGCTGCATCATATGTCACTGAAACAAAGGGTTAGAGCCAGTATATAGGCAACCATGTGTTTCAGTGAAACAAAGGGTTAGAGCCAGTATATAGGCAACTATGTGTTTCAGTGAACCAAAGGGTTAGAGCCAGTATATAGGCAACCATGTGTTTCAGTGAAACAAAGGGTTAGAGCCAGTATATAGGCAACTATGTGTTTCAGTGAAACAAAGGGTTAGAGCCAGTATATAGGCAACCATGTGTTTCAGTGAAACAAAGGGTTAGAGCCAGTATATAGGCTACCATGTGTTTCAGTGAAACAAAGGGTTAGAGCCAGTATATAGGCAACTATGTGTTTCAGTGGAACAAAGGGTTAGGAGCCAGTATATAGGCAACCATGTTTTCAGTGAAACAAAAGGGTTAGAGCCAGTATATAGGCAACTATGTGTTTCAGTGGAACAAAGGGTTATAGCCAGTATATAGGCAACCATGTGTTTCAGTGGAACAAAAGGGTTAGAGCCAGTATATAGGCAATCATGTGTTTCAGTGAAACAAAGGGTTAGAGCCAGTATAGTGGTTCAGTGAAACAAAGGGTTAGAGCCAGTATATAGGCAACCAAGACCAGTGGAACAAAGGGTTAGAGCCAGTATATAGGCAACATGGGGGTTGAACAAACAGATTTGTGAAGCCCATTTCTGGTGTCCCCTGTGAAACAAAGGGATGTTGCTGGAATATTGCTAAAAGGGCTAGAGCAGTATAAACCAAATTCAGTCAGTCAGTCAGTATATAGGCTACCACATCAATGGACTCCTGTCCGTCAAGGCACATTTGTTCTTTTCCAGAGCAGAACTCTAAAACCGCTCAATGTTTCTTCACCAAACTCTAAGTACACATACATAGATCTGGTGGTGTACTGGTGCCCTTTGGTAGTTCTTTGGGAATTCTGAATAAAATATTTCTGGCGCTTCCATGGCAACAAGTGCTAATTTAAAACTGAAATTAGTGGTAGTGCTCTTTCTCCGAGCAGAACTCTAAAAACCGCTAAATGTTTCTTTCACTCAAACTTGGCACATACATAGAACTGGATGTGTACTGGTGCCTTTGGTAGTTTTGGATTTCTGAATAAAATATTTTGACATTTCCATGGCAACAAGTTTGACATAGACTGAAATTGGTGATAGTGCTCCTTTCTGCAGCAGAACTTTACAATCCTTTCAATACTGTCCTTCCACTTTTCTATATACACACCTAAATATTTGACATAATCATAACTCGTAGACATAATCATGAAGAGTATTTTGCCATTATGGGGTACCACATCACTTTTTCAGTGAAACATAAAGAGTTAAGCAACATGGAACTGACTGACACTCACAAAGTGGCGGACGACCATACCAACAAGCAGTCCACCACGACCACAGCATCCAGTGATATCAGTATGTCCACCCTCACACAGTCCATCCAGAAGGTTCGAGATGGACCACCGTGTATGTCCTCCATATGCGTCTACACATTCCTCAATGCTTACCAAGGGTATGTACAGGGGCTCACAATGTACACACTTTACAAGCACTAGCACAGTATTAGTGGTTGCCACAAATTTCATTTCCTAATGCTTTTTTGCCAGAATGAGACAATCTCGCTACATTTCCATGCCATATCAGGGTTAAAAATTACTGTTAGTGTGAATGCTACTGAGATCTAGAATTGTCATATCCCCCAAACTTGTGTTGACTTGTCTGACTTCAGTTGTGGACTCATTAGTTTTAACTTGTGATGTCTGAATTTCATTGAAAGATTGTGCATTTGGCTTTGGCAATGCATGTCAAATCAATGAGAACTTAACCAGAAACATGCTTCATCATTATACAGAAGTTTGTCTACCGTTTTCCTTTTTGTCATTCTAGTTCTACTGTAAGCCAAGTAGAATTGTGTTTCCATTTTGTGATGTGATTTTTGTCTGATTGTCCTGCAGTTTGTGCAGTACATGTGTGTCCCCTGATGGCGAGAGTCTGGCGGCTGGGTTCGAGGACTCCACTGTGTCTCTGTGGAGCTTGTCACCCGGACACATCCACTCCGAGGCCAGCGATGGTGACCCCAGCAAGATAGCAGTTGCAGCTGACCTCTTGAATGTCGAAGAGGACAAAGCAGCTCTCAGGTAACCCACTTGCAGCTGACAATATAGGAATAGGTAGATGTGACATCCCACTTTTGACTGATAAATACATGTGCCAACCTGCTGGTTTGGCTCCCAGCTGAAACTTTTGTACCTTGCTTGTGACCTTGTTGTCCAGAGGGCTTCTAGGTAGTGCCCACATAGTCTGGATGCAGACACAAATATTCCTTGGGTTGTCACAGACTCTAGATTATGATACTGGTTATGTTCCTTGACTTAAAAACTTGTATGTATTTCAAGAATTGTGCATTTCCAGGTTCTGTTGTGCACTTGTGTAACTGTTGTGTTCTGCAGGGCTAGCTGTGACCTTGAGACACTTACACTGATGGGGTCTGCTTTGATCTACCTATCTCCTGTCCTGCTCAGAAAACCCAGGTAGGCACCCCGACTACACCCATACTCCTGTCCTGCTACATAGAAGACACCACAGGTGTACTACAGGTAGACACAGGTGTACCATACAGGTGTACTATACAGGTGTACTATACAGGTAGACACAGTACTACCATACACAGGTGTACTATACAGGTAGACACAGGTGTACATCATACAGGTGTACTATACAGGTAGTACCACACAGGTGTATCAGGTATAAAGGTACCCATACAGGTGATGAGCAGACCTGTGCACCTCACTCATATAGCCATAATAAATCCAGCTGAGCAGACTTGTTCTCAACATACCACCATTCTCACTTCCCATATAAAGAGGGGAAGTGGGGTAGCCTTGTGGTTAAAGCACCGAAGACCCAGGTTCCATTCCCCACATGGGTACAAATGGTGAATCCCATTTCTGGTATCCCCCTGTGATATTGCTGGAATATTGCTAAAAGCGGCAAAAAATTAAACTCTCAATCAAACACTACTACTATGTAAAGAATGACTGTCTATTCACTGCATCTATGTTTGTTTACACAGTACGTCTGTGGGATTTGAGGACACACACAAACAGGGTGTGCTACCAGGGACACAACTACCCAGTGTGGGACATTGATGCCAGGTAGGGACTCCAGCAGGATCAACGGACATGCATAGGGCAGACTAATAGTCCTCATACTGTCTGAAAATATGCTTCAACATAATTTGTTTTACATGTCTGATTATATTGCTAATTAACATAATCAAAATAGATATTATTAACAAACAGGTGCAATGAGATATAAAATAAATGTGATTACAATCTTCTCATCATGATACTACTATCATATCTAGAGACGTTTATGAAAAAACTTAAAATTCTGATAATATACAGGATCCGGTTGTATCATTGCTTCATTAACTAATGTCAACATTAAACCCTAATGATACATTAAATCCTTAATGCATCATTAGTTAATGGCAACATTAAAACGGTTGTATCAAACACTTATTAGCATATCATTATCTAATGACGTCCTAATGTAAATATTTTCATTAAATCCGGGATTCCCCTAATTTTTCCCACAATTCAGCGCTGTAAACATGTAAGTGTTACTCTCGGTCGATCTGTCAAAATGGCATCTTTAGGGCTAAACCTCGGAACAAAAACAAACATTTCTGACTGCTGTGAAGAAACATGTCTAAATAATTCTGAAGCGTCGCCGATAAACCTAGAATCGGTTGGGATGTTTTGGAATATACACCGAACATGAACACTGAAGTGAGCTTTCAGCCATATTTGATAGTGTGATTTTACAAAATCAAGTTTCGCTAAAAGGCCAGTCACAGGACCTATTACATCATGTATATTTCATATTCAGTTGTGATAAATGCATTGCTGAATTCCTCATACATTTTAAAAATCAAATTCCAAATGTCTTTGTCACTATAACCATGTGTCTAAGAAAAAACGAAACATATTGGTGTGAAAACGGGACGTTGTGCTCATTACACAGCTTGCTAGAAATATAATCAAAGCAAAAATCAGATTTTATACTGTGCAGCATTTTCTCAATTTTTAGACATCAGTTCGTCTATTCAGTAGCATGCATGAGCTCAATATTTTTAGAATATGCACGGAAAGAGTATCGTATAGCAAGAACTAGAAAACTTAAAACAGATACAATACTGAAATTTGATATATTTTTACGAAGTTTTGTGCAGCGTGCGCCATGTGAGGGCGTAAAATCATGGAGAACGACATAGGCAATTATTGGCAGTTCTGGCGTTTTCAATGAAAACAATAAAACAAACAACCATGCGGCTGATAGTCAGAATGTTTCCGATTACTTTACATCATACATTTATGGACAAAGGTTCCTCAGAAAATCGTGGGCACCCATATCCACGAAACCGCCATTTCATGAGAAATCGGGTCATCGGTAGTGATGTCATACATCAACATTGTTGGACATATGTGGCAATTTCTTTGAGGTGAAGGTCGGTTGAATAAGAGTAAACACAATCACACTGTCCTGCAGATTATACTTGTATTATTAATGTATGCTTTTAATTATGTATCGTTCACATATGGTTTCATGAAACTAATTTCATTATCAACATTTAGTATTTTAAACCTAAGTAAATAATGAAATGTATATATGCACACGTTTTAAAGGATATGTCTTGTTCATTGAATTTGTTTATGTTGTGTTATAGACAAAACAATGGCATATAATAATCATTGGCCAGGTCGCGTTTTGTCACAAATGTTTTGAGTATCATTGTTTTCGATAATTCGTGAACAAAAACATCACGAAAATATTGTGTCCTTATTCACAGCATATTCTCGCCAAGTGATCTGAGTTACAATGACTAAGTATGAAGCATACCGGAGGAGGGCCATCTTATCTTTATAAGCGTGTGAACTTTATGTAGCCATTTGACGTCATGGGGAAAATCCATTTTCAACACATATTGGCGAGTCTACTTTTAAGATTGAGTGTATAACGTTATACATAAGCACACAAACTAATTTAACACATACCTATTTCATTCAGGTATCAGGCAGAATTTTGTTAGCCTCACACTTTCCGTAAAGATGCCAAATTGAAAATATATAGTAGCACAGTACTTTTATCAGTGCTGCGATAAAAAAAGCTGAGAAATTTACTGTTTTAACGCGATAACAAAATTAGGAGTAACATTCAGCAGTGTCTAATTTTCAAACTGAGTTTATACCATGAGATGAGATACGACATTTAATAACTCTACATTTCTGTTTTAATTTTATAGCTGTAGGTGGTAGATCCAGCGGCATAAACTGAAATACAGAGCTATAAATTGATGTTAACACGTTTAGGCCAAGTTACAAAGTTGGGCTAAGTTTAAGAAATATAGTGCTGGACAGCCTATTTGATTCCAGTAAAATTCCCTGGCCAAAATCCAAGTCTCTCCACCGAATGTCAGGCAGTGACTCCCTGCTGTTATTTTGATGTAATGTTATAAATTAGATTTCATTAACTTGACATGATTCTCACTCCAGTGCTACTGCAGGCTATTTTGCCAGCAGCTCTCAGGACCGTACAGCCAAGTTGTGGTGCACAGAGAGGACATATCCCCTCCGATCGTTTATTGGCCACACGTTCGACATAGATGTGAGTACAATGTCACCATTGAGTGGGATGGTCATGTGTGTGAAGTGTTGACCCGGAACACTCAAACTGTCTGAAGACAGCTGCTTCTAAGAACAAAGTAATGAGATAATGTAGTTAGATTATGTATTTTACTGTATATTTTCAACATATGTATTCTGTTTCAGTGACATCTTCATGTTGTTTCAGTGTGTCATCTTCATGTTGTTTCAGTGTGTCATCTTCATGTTATTTCAGTGTGTCATCTTCATGTTATTTCAGTGTGTCATCTTCATGTTATTTCAGTGTGTCATCTTCATGTTATTTCAGTGTGTCATCTTCATGTTGTTTCAGTGTGTCATCTTCATGTTGTTTCAGTGTGTCATCTTCATGTTGTTTCAGTGTGTCATCTTCATGTTGTTTCAGTGTGTCATCTTCATGTTATTTCAGTGTGTCATCTTCATGTTGTTTCAGTGTGTCATCTTCATGTTGTTTCAGTGTGTCATCTTCATGTTATTTCAGTGTGTCATCTTCATGTTGTTTCAGTGTGTCATCTTCATGTTATTTCAGTGTGTCATCTTCATGTTATTTCAGTGTGTCATCTTCATGTTGTTTCAGTGTGTCATCTTCATGTTGTTTCAGTGTGTCATCTTCATGTTGTTTCAGTGTGTCATCTTCATGTTGTTTCAGTGTGTCATCTTCATGTTGTTTCAGTGTGTCATCTTCATGTTATTTCAGTGTGTCATCTTCATGTTGTTTCAGTGTGTCAAGTTCCACCCAAATGGCAACTACCTGGCAACTGGATCTGGCGACAAGACTGTCCGACTGTGGAGCATACAAAGTGGCCGGACTGTCCGCCTGTTTCAAGGTCATAGGGGATCCGTTATGTGCCTTGCCTTCTCCCCTGATGGCAGGCTACTGGCATCAGCAGGTAGGTGGCAAAGTAATGAACCTATAACTTAACACACTAATGGTACCATGCATGATCTAAAATGAGTAAAATTGGTGTTCTGAACTTATTTTCTATAGAGGTACGACACTTGGTTTTTTGCTTTGTACATGCTTTGTGAAATAATGCCATTTAGAAAGTGGTCAAATATAACGTATGTTATATTCATGATCACAATTTCTCAGTAAAGTAAAGATTCTGGTACTTTGGTTAGGTTGAGTCTCATCCGGGATTTGAACCTACACTACAGTCTGACAACTACCGGTAATCGCCAGCACACAAATTCAGCCGTCTAACCCACTCAGCCGCCAGGGCTTCAACTTCGAACATATAACATATGTTGTGTGATTGATTTTGTATCTCACTTCCATATTTGGTCCTTGTTCACCCAGTATTCCAGATAACACTGATGGTACACGAACATTAAGTGACATAAAAGCACCTCATGGTTATATAGGTACATTGTGAATGTTGCAGGTGAAGATCGTCGGATCCGTGTGTGGGACCTGAGCACTGGTCATTTGTACAAGGAGCTGCGCGGACACTCCGACACTGTCTACTCCCTCTGCTTCAGCCGCAACAGCTCACTGTTGGCCTCTGGGGGGCTCGACTCCTGTATCTGGGTGTGGGATGTCGGGAAGACCACAGACAAGGACAAGTGAGTACTGTGTTGTGAGGCAGTGATTGTATTCATTATGACTCCTGTATCTGGGTGTGGGATGTCGGGAAGACCACAGACAAGGACAAGTGAGTACTGTGTTGTGAGGCAGTGATTGTATTCATTATATGACTCCTGTATCTGTGCGGGATGTGACAAGGCAGTGAGTATTCTGTGACTCCTGTATCTGGTGTGGGATGTCAGTGAGATTGTGATTCATTATTCATGATATGACTCCTGTATCTGGGTGCGGGATGTCGGGAAGACCACAGACAAGGACAAGTGAGTACTGTGTTGTGAGGCAGTGATTGTATTCATTATATGACTCCTGTATCTGGGTGTGGGATGTCAGGAAGACCACAGACAAGGACAAGTGAGTACTGTGTTGTGAGGCAGTGATTGTATTCATTATATGACTCCTGTATCTGGGTGCTGGGATGTCGGGAAGACCACAGACAAGGACAAGTGAGTACTGTGTTGTGAGGCAGTGATTGTATTCATTATATGACTCCTGTATCTGGGTGCTGGATGTCGGGAAGACCACAGACAAGGACAAGTGAGTACTGTGTTGTGAGGCAGTGATTGTATTCATTATATGACTCATGTATCTATCTGAAAAAAGTTAAGCACTTCCCTTCTTGAGCTGTTTAATATGTACATATTGCTTTGATCCGATTTTTAATGGTTTGGTTTCTTGTTTAAAGCCGAAATCAGCAATATTCCTGCTGTATGATGGCATAAATGAAGGAATCTGGACCTGAAAATCCTGACTGATTTTATGAGCAGCAATTTATGCAATAGGAACAAAATGATATGCATCAAGCAAGTCAGCAACCCTGACCACCCGATCCCATTAGTCGCCTGTTATGACTAAACTGGATTTGCCTGAGTGTATTTTGATAATTGTCACATTTGCCACTGGTACATGCTGAAAAGTGGATGACAGAACAGTATAGGCTCCTCCAGGTGATAAGTACCTGTGAGGGAACAATTGATGGGCAGGTCATATAATTATTGCCAAGGAACTGTTACAGAACAGGACATTTCAGTGTGTCGCCTTGTATACAAGAACTATGGTATGCCTGTAACAATGCATAAGTCCCTGTTTACCAGTAGTCAGTACTACATGGTCTGTATAATACTGTATAATACTGGTAATACCTGGATCTATTTTATATTACTTCACGGATGACCTTTTGTCTTTTGTGTTCCAGTACCGAGTCTACCACCTCTCCTGAACTTCTCAGTGCCTTCCCCACCAAGTCGGTGTCTGTCATATACCTCCACTTCTCTAAACACAACGTGCTTCAGGCTGCTGGAACCAACTTATGACCCCCACCCAGGAGTACAGTGGAACCAATTTGTCACTCGCTATGAAGTACAATGGAACCAATTTGTCACTCGCTATAAAGTACAGTGGAACCAATTTGTCACTCGCTATAAAGTACAGTGGAACCTATTTGTCACTCGCTTTAAAGTACAGTGGAATCTTCACAACAGAGATGTCTGCTGTGATCTTGGAATAGCTGTCTCAATGGCACTTTGGGACAAACATGAAATCAGAAACTACTAGGATTATGAGCCAAAGATGGACTATGTCCACAAAACTGTGGGTCAGTGACTTTTTCTGTCTACAGGATTTTTGGATAATCATGCTAACAGTTATAAAGGACCTGGGGACAACCATGTTATTAATCTATAGCGTTATAGCCACATTAGTTGGGTACTGGGACAACCATGCTATCTGTCAGCTGCCACAATTCACTGTTGTGGATTGGGACTGACAACCACAACCATGCTATCAGTCAGCTGGGACAATTGTGTCATCTGTTGACTAGCATGTTGGGGACTGACACATTACCGGTGGACTGGGACAACCATGCTATCAGTCAGCTGGGACAATTGTGTCATCTGTTGACTAGCATGTTGGGGACTGACACATTACCGGTGGACTGGGACAACCATGCTATCAGTCAGCTGGGACAATTGTGTCATCTGTTGACATCATTGTTGGGACTAGCATGTTGGGGACTGGACTGGGACAACCATATCAGTCAGCTGGGACAATTGTGTCATCTGTTGACTAGGATGTTGGGGACTGACACATTGCTGGACTGGGACAATGCTATCAGTCAGCTGGGACAATTGTGTCATCTGTTGACTAGCATGTTGGGGACTGACACATTACCGGTGGACTGGGACAACCATGCTATCAGTCAGCTGGGACAATTGTGTCATCTGTTGACTAGCATGTTGGGGACTGACACATTACCGGTGGACTGGGACAACCATGCTATCAGTCAGCTGGGACAATTGTGTCATCTGTTGACTAGCATGTTGGGGACTGACACATTACCGGCCGGTGGACTTGTGGACTGGGACAACCATGCTATCAGTCAGCTGGGACAATTGTGTCATCTGTTGACTAGGATGTTGGGGACTGACACATTACCGGTGGACTTGGACACTGGGACAACAAGAACAGCTATGGAGTGACACGCTATGGCTGCCCTATCTCCAGGACACTATGGCATCAGGACATGATATCAATAAGGTCTGACTTTACAACACTGCCATCTGCAGCATGAAAGTATATGTTGAACATATGAATGCTCAGTGGTAGATAGAATACTCTATTTAATGTGTGTGTGGCAAGTTACCTGTCAATGTAAAGACAACCTCAGCTGTGTTGATCAATAAGATTGAAAACACCAGCTGGTCATAAAGATCTCATACACAAACATGATCATGTGAATCATATTTCTGGTACCTTTTAAATGTATTATGTGAATACAACTGGTAAATCTCATAGCCTTGTTTCTTTGATGCATGGACCATCTCTGTGATCTGGTCGATGAAGTGCTGCGCTGAGAGAGGACGACATAGCCGAGTGTCACATTACACAACAGAAAACAATCTTTCACGTCATCTAACTTGTAACACTGACATAAAAGGCAGCAATAAATAGCAGAAAAAAGCTTCAATTGGATGAAGTGGTCTTCAATATGTATGGAAGTTTTAAAAGGCATTTAGAAGTTGGATGAACGTGAATACATGACATGTTTTATAGATAACAATTTCTTTGTTATTCTTTACAGAGCTAATTCTCGCTCCTTCATCAGGTGAGATCAGGTTATCTATAAAACGTGTCATGTATTCATATGTACGAAAGTCAAGTAATGCTTTTCTCATTTGTGCTGAGAACTTAGAATCCTCTATTATCGGTCCCTGTGAGTTCGTTTTAACTGTAGTTTACTCTAATGACAGACTCCATAGCACAAAATACTGGTTACCGAAACAGCAATACTGATCCACACTGCTATGTTGCTGTTACTTGGTACTGTCATCTTCCAACACATTGCAACAACCACAACGTCTCTGGTGAAATCTTTTATTACAAAAAATGAATATATGCGGCTCAAAGTCTCAACAAGGATATTCCACTGAACACTTGTGCAATAAACAACACTGGTGAAAGACATAGAATAATACTGTAATCTGTATAATAATACTGGCAAACTTCACACAAACATACACAATATGAAAACATTCAAAATAAAGCAAATAGCACATGTAAAACAATATGTAAATTCTTTAATACTGAGTGATCGACTATGTAGATCTGTAACTGTTAGACTCCGTAACAGACTGATCCATCATCATATAAATCTATGAACGATACCTTATACATCCAAAGTGGATAAATATGTTAATTCAAAATAAATATATTCTCATATGATGGAACGCATTATAATACAAGCTGCTTTGGACGTTAACCTCTGTATCCTCTGTGCTACTGCATAAAACATTGTAATCTGGACACAGAACTCGAGTGAATACAACAATACAGTACTCCATATTCAAATACAGTATATATGTATGGACACACTAATGAAAATACCACCTGCTGGCCATCCAATTCTTTTGATTTTATATTGAATAAATCTGCACTCAGGAAGAGTTGGTACAAAACTGTGGTATTTTGATATGTCTGACTGTACACTATCAGTCATTCATGTAACTTCTTTATCACAACAAAGCTGCATCATAACGCATATATATTTTATGAACATTTTGATTGAAGCAAAATAAAATGCAGAACATCCTGAGATTTGTTCTTACAGCAAATTTGCAGAAACAAATCTTTGCAACAACAACAAAGATTCTATGTAATACTGATAACGAGTGCGCCAAACTGTATGATACTGCTTGAAACAAATGAAAAATACAATACAAATGTTGATCACTGACCAGCTGCAAGTGTCTTCTTCTGACGCACTTTGCGAGGAATTGGAGCACAAAGTTCCTCCATCCGTGGTGTCGCTCTAGCCTTCTTTGCAGCTGTGGTTACCTTATAGGGATCATAGTCATCCTTGATCATCGTGCGACTCCGTGGTCGAGCTAGCTGCTGAAGACGCAGGGATGCTATAGCCTTCAGAGCCTGATCCGAAACTGGCCACTGGACAGGGTTCTCTCCCTTGAAGTTATCGTGATAGCCCTTAGCTTCTGCTAGTGACTCCACCCTTGATGAAGCAGTGGCCTTTTTGGCTTCTGGAGAGACTTCGCTTGGTTGACCCCACTCGTAGTCATTGATACAATATCTGTCTTCCCTGTTTTTGGGGACAGCAAGTGACTGAAGACGTTTTGATGCCGACACACTCCGTGCCGCCTGTGTTACCACTGAGTATGGAGATCTCTCTATCTTGAACTCACCATGGAGACCCTTTGGCTGACTCAAGACCTCAACACGCTCTGTTGCAGAGGCGTCTAAAGCTGTCTTCTTCACTGGCCATATTGGTGTTGGTCTATAACAAAAGTATCTTATAAAGTAAAATGTGATTATCTCTTACTTTACCTGGACAATGGTTCCAAATAGTTAATGTCATTTTCTTGTGTGTCCATTGTTTCATCTTTAAATGCCTGCAAGTGTGCTCTCTGAAACAACTTCATTCATCTGTTACTTTGTTTTGATAGAGGGTGAGGTATGGGAGAACTTGAAGGTATGGATAAAATCATTCTCTATGTTGTTTTTTTATATCAAAATGTGTGAAAATTAATTGTTCAACTTCTTGAGTAAAATCATTCAACAAACAGTATGTTCCGTAAGGCCTATAATATGGTGAACAGTGTTAAATGCAGCTCACTAAGCTCATTGACAAAACTGGCATCTGAATTCATGTATACCCATGAATTCTCTCCACTCTGGTCCAAATCATTCACACCCAAGGTTCATGTCTTTCACTTTCCTGGCCCCACGATTATGAAAATGACTCACATCCACACTTTGTCTTCACTCTTAAGCTTTAGACTTAAAATCATATTTTGTCTTAATTCAGGATCTTCAAAATTTGAGAATATCTAAAGTCTAAGATAAAATTTGAGGCTCAACAGATTGCAGAAGCGATTCAAATTGTATGATGCCTCTCTTCTAATTAAAAGAAATTCACATTGAGAGGATTTTTAGAGGCCATCCAAGACTATTTCACACAATTGGGTTCTATCCTTCACTACCCCAGACTTTTTCACCCTTACACCAGGGTTCTATCCTTTCCTACCCCAGACTGTTTCACCCATACACAAGGGTTCTATCCTGTCACTACCCTTGTCTATTTCACCCATGCACACAGGTTCTCTCTTGTCATTACCATTGTCTATTTCACCCATACACAGGTTCTCTCTTGTCATCACCCTTTTCTATTTCCACTCACTCACACACACAGGGTTCTCTCTCTTGTTATCACCCTTGTCTATTTCACTCCATACACACACGGGTTCTCTCTTGTCATCACTCTTTTCTATTTCATTCACACACACAGGTTCTCTCTTGTCATCACCCTTGTCTATTTCACTCCACCTCACACAGGTTCTCTCTTGTCATTCACCCTTGTCTATTTCACCCATACACATGGGTTCTCTTGTCACCACCCTTGTCTATTTCCACTCCACACACATGGGTTCTCTCGTCATCACCCTTGTCTATTTCACCCATACACATGGGTTCTCTCTTGTCACCACCATTGTCCATTTCACCCATACACATGGGTTCTCTCTTGTCACCACCCTTGTCTATTTCACTCCTCACACACATGGGTTCTCTCTTGTCATCACCCTTGTCTATTTCACCCATACAAACAGGTTCTCTCTTGTCATCACCCTTGTCTATTTCACTCCACACATGGGTTCTCTCTTGTCACCACCATTGTCTATTTCCACTCATTCACTGGGTTCTCTCTTGTCATCACCCTTGTCTATTTCACCCATACACATGGGTTCTCTCTTGTCACAACCCTTGTCTATTTCACTCACACACATGGGTTCTCTCGTCACCACCCTTGTCTATTTCACCCATACACATGGGTTCTCTCTTGTCACCACCATTGTCCATTTCACCCATACACATGGGTTCTCTCTTGTCACCACCCTTGTCTATTTCACTCATACACATGGGTTCTCTCTTGTCATCACCCTTGTCTATTTCACCCATACACACAGGTTCTCTCTTGTCACCACCCTTGTCTATTTCACCCATACACACAGGTTCTCTCTTGTCATTACTATTGTCTATTTCACCCATACACACAGGTTCTCTCTTGTCACCACCCTTGTCTATTTCACCCATACACACAGGTTCTCTCTTGTCACCACCCTTGTCTATTTCACCCATACACACAGGTTCTCTCTTGTCACCACCCTTGTCTATTTCACCCATACACACCAGGTTCTCTCTTGTCACCACCCTTGTCTATTTCACTCATACACACAGGTTCTCTCTTGTCACCACCCTTGTCTATTTCACTCACACACGTGTTCTCTCTTGTCACCACCCTTGTCTATTCCACCCATACACACGGGTTCTTTCTGCCACCTCTATATAATTTTCTCCATTGTTTGTTGGTCACTGAGAGTACCATTGAAAGAATCTCTCTACCTGTGTTCCTTATACTCATGATGGGTAGACCTGTGACGAGCCAGTTCCTCCAGTCGTGTCGTGGTGGCTACAACACAAAAGCATTCTCAAATACACAAAGTCATGTAGTGCAGAAACTGTATTTGATGCAATGAGAATTCTCAAAGAGAAAACACACTGAAAATTATCTGAATGTCTGGGTGACTTATGATATGATTTATGTGTATATTAGTGTTGGGAATTGGTTGAAATCTCACAATTGATGATTGCTTCATTACCAACGGACAATCATCGAAAAAAATTGGTTAGCGTCATTTTTCAAATTTTCCTATCCAGGTTGTTATTGCAGATATGTATAACATGATGCAACTTGCTACTTTAAAGTGATGACTTCTATATCATGAACATAAACTTCCTGGAATCTTCAAGAAATATTCAGTCATGGCATTTCAGTTAGTGAAGTGAGTTTTCTAAGAATTAAACACGTTTTCAGGCACTGACAACTTCAACGATATGTTCCATTGTCATGTATTTCAAAGACTAAAAAAGTAGTTCAAAATCGTTTATGTTCGATTATGAGAAAATGTGATCGATTGCTCGGTCGTTTGGTCACTGCGACCAATCTTCGATTATTTCAGTTAATCGGAACACCACTAGTGTATATTGCAATGGAATGTACCATGAAAGAGATCCTTCTTGAACAAAATTCTCATCCCTGTATTGGGATTAGGAAATAAAGTTAAGCTCTACCCCAATGTGTTTTGTAATAAAGTATAGTTTTGCCCTGAACTATTATAATTAAAGCACGAGAACGGTAGTCCGAGTGCTTTGATGTTATAATAGTTCAGGGCAAAACTATACTTGATTACAAAACACATTGGGGTAGAGCTTAACTTTACATCTTTCTAAGATGCTAAATTTAATACTTTCTAAGGATAATTACGATTAATTTAAGGCAGAAAACAAACGACGGTGTCGGTGGCCTAAGTTAAGAATCCTCGCACAGGGCTAACTGGTGCGCTGTTCTATTGATGTGTCAGCTCTCCTACGTTAAGACCTAACGTTACCAGAAAAAACAAATGATGACAGTTTGATGACGGTTTTACGCTTGGATTAAATATCTTCTCTGAATTATTTTAATTACATCTGTCATTAACGTAAACCATATGGGGCAATATGAACGTCGCATTTCTACTACCAACGTAAGTTTAGATGTACATCCAGATTGACAGTCATTTTAATTCCCGATTCATTGTAAATGTTAACAAACGTAATGTTTCCACCAGTGATGAATTACACATTTTAACCGCGCCGTGAAACATAAACGTAATGTTTCCACCAGTGATGTTAGCGAAGCAAATGCAAACCAAGAAACGGGATGCAACGGAGTAGTTTACTGTAGGAGGCCGTGCGAGGCGATGACAACTGACATGCATCGTGGACGCCAGTTACATTGTGACGTAATGTAAAATAATTCGATTACAAAGGGGCACACTAGAATGGCGCAGTGGACGGGATAACGTCATTCAGTTGTTACGTCATCAAAAACTATACCTTTATTGTCTGATAATGTATTTTTTTCGATTGTTCTAACCGCTAGGCATCCCTGTATTGGGAGTACAAATAGAAAGTCAATGGTGGGTACTTACATCATATAACGTAATCTCCTTCTATAAACTGTGTTACAACATACAAAGGATGGGGAGGAAATCTGTTGAAAGGTTATCGTTACTGTAGGACAGGAGTGTCCAGTTCCGATAAGGTACTGCAGTTCACTGTACAGTTTTCAAGAACAAGTGAAACAGGCCAGTGCAACAAAGGTCAGGGCTAACAATACATGTTTGTCGAGGGTGTAGATAAATTCCAATTTCATGGATGTAAATGTAAGTCTTCTTGTGTGTTACAAAACAATAATCCTTGGTTTTCAGGTGACATGGACTCGAGATATGTGGGTTGGTAGGTTTTGTATTTTAATATGCTAATTTGTGTATTATATTTAACTGACGTGAGTAGCAATGCTCTTTTATTTGATGGTCAAAAGAACTACAGACACAATACTTAGGGGGGAAACATACAATTTTCCTCCCAATTTTTTTATACTGGTTTCTTGACAGCTGTTTCTAGCCAATACAAACACAATGGGGTCCTAGTATGGCAGTGTTTTGATCAGATTGCCTGAAACATGGTTTGTCATTTGGCTGTAAAAACAATTAACTGTCTGACAACTGTGGACGGATGTGTGATTGAAGATGGCGGATACACTCACTGAAGAGTGTCATCTTCGACGTCCCTCCCTCAGTCACTCCCTGTGGTTGCTGGGGTTCGTAATCCACCCAATACACGGAACGCCTACAACAAACACAGACAACAGACATTCAGAGTGGTACTAATATTTGTGACCAGCAAATTGGCACATCAGCATTGTTATTGCCACTTGCTAATGTGTTGTACTCATGGTCATACACAATGATTACACAATGCCATTTAGAAAGTGGTGAAATGTAACATATGTTATATTTGGGATTACACTTTCTTAGTAAAGTACAAATTCTAGTACTCTTTTTAGTTGAGCCCCATCCGGGATTCGAACCTACACCCTCAGAGTCAGGCACCTAACCAACAGCACACATATCAGCCAACTAACCCGCTCAGCCACCGCAAATTCGACTGAGGGTGTGGGTTCGAATCCCGGATGGGGCTCAACTAAAAAAAAATACTAGAATTTGAACTTTACTAAGAAAGTGTAATCCCAAATATAACATATGTTACGCAGCATATGTGATTACCATTGCGTATCGTAACATATGTTATATATTGGATTACACTTTCATACACATGAAATTGGTTGAACTTTGGAACAACCATCAAAGGGAAGTAACTCTAGCTACAAATGCTGTGGAGCAATAGTTTTGCTTTGCAATGGATATTAATTAACACACATTGTCATTGCAAAGCATTTTTTATTCATTAGTTTCCTTTAAGATCATAACTTGACAGGTTTTGCTAAATTTATGGTCTCAGAGTAAATCACTGGCAATTTGGGCCTTTTCAAGCTTAAACAAATTTAGGGCCTTTTCGGAGTAAAACAGTCAAATTTCATGTTTTTTCAGTCCCCTGTGAACCTTGTCCTAAGATGTCGGTACCCACAGGACAACCTGAACCCATGGTTAATTATGTGATAGTGTGTTGACATTGACATTAACAATATAACTCCATGGTCACTAACGTGTACATATCTTTCTGATTTTTATGTATCGGGTGACACTAAAAGTTCAGTCACCTGTATAGTGTCAGGTTTGTCAAAATTCTAAATCAGAAGGAAGAAAGTTGTTATCTTAAATAAGAAATACTCAATTTGTGGTCTATTTCATTATACAATAATACTCAGCTACTTCAGGTACACACTTCATTGTTTATGTTTGTTATGCTTGTTGGTTGTTTACTCTACACGCAGCAATTTTCCAGCTATATGACGTCAGTCTTTAATTAATGGATCAATGGAGGGTCAGCGAGCATAATCATTCTATCACATTAGTTGTTTCTTACAACATGTTTGGGTTGCTGAAGTCAAATTAAAACCTGAATGTTCACAGGTGTTCATTAATTTTTCTCCTTCAAAGGTTTTATTTTTACAATGTAAATTCTTTGAGTGGCAATTCTGCTTGACTACAATACAGGTGCCTGTATTAAAATGCAAACAAAATAAAAGAAGTTGTAATCCACAAAACCTGTCAGTATTGAACTAGGCTATGAGTTGCATGTTTATTTCATAAATAATGAAAACAAGTTCCTTGAGATGATTGTTAAAAAACGTCTTGTAAATTATATGTAAATTTTACTGGGGTTGCAAAACATACTTTACTTCGTATCTCAAAATCAAGAGAATCGCTGTGTGTTTATGTGTGCGGTCAACAACTGGTAATTGTTAATGTTGTGACATAATACAATCAGCTGTTATCAGATACATTTGCTAAAACAAACCCAAAACATTCAATGAAAAACTCACCTATCCTCTAAAAAAACCAGGAGGTACTGGTTTAGGCCTCGATAACAAGTCTATTCTTCTCGTGCTTTCTGAAACAGACATAGAATATTCAGTCTCTGTATCCATTGTGCAAAGAGCGTTTAACACAAACGTGAATCTATCCAACAAGAAACGAGACTGAAGTTACCATATGCCGTCGCCATCTTTCATCGATAAGGGCGTTGCTAAGGACGCTCGGGCTCCTCTGTCTAGCGGAACAACCCGAGAGGTCCCGAGTGAATGCACAGGTCTGGGTGGGAGCTTATCGAAGCTGATGAGATAACACGTTCTGTCAATGGATACAAAATGGCTTATGTTATTCTGTGTGCCCGGTTGACTAACTTGAAGGCTTAGCCATATGGTTTGTAACAGCACCCAAAATATAGCTTTACTTAAGCCTTGTTTACGGATTTTCACTAGACAACTATAAAGGGTGTTTTCAGTGTTTGTTGCAGTTTCTTCTCCACGTTGCCTACGAATATCATAATCATTAGCATGATATTTCGTATCATATGTCATGCATTTAAAAAGTTAGTTTATTAGACAAAGTATACTGCATACACTGTCAAAATCAATATGTCAAATAAATTGGAAGGCGAGTTAACTTAAAAAATATGAAGAAGTTCTTGCTGCAGTAAAAACAAATTAAAAAATGAAAAAGTCCAGGTTCAGATGAGTTCACAGCTTAATTTGTAAAATTCTTTTGGTATGATTTAGAAAATATCCTCTTGCGATCTTTCAAATATTCTTATGAACAGGGGTTTCTATATCCTCGATAATCTCCAGGTATACGTTACGATCACTCTCCACTATAGTGGATTTAGTGATAGTAACGAATACCCTGGAGATTATCGAGGATGGGATTTCTATCAATTTCACAACAAAGTGGAATTATAACATGCATTCCTAAAGGTAATAAACCAAAACAATTTCTTAAAAATTGGCGCACATCTCTTTCCTATCAAACTTTTATAAAATTGCATCCATGACCATTGCAAATAGAATTAGGACTGTATTAGATACACTTATAAAGGAAGGTAAAAAAAAGGTTTATGTCTGGAAGATACATCGGTGAAATAACTCGTCAAATTTATGATCACATTGGAATACACAGAAAACTATCAAGTACCAGGTTTGCTATTGCAGATTGATTTTGAAAAAGACTTCGATACGGTGGATTTGTGATTTATACAAGAAACCATGACTTTTTTTCGGTCTTGGAAATTCCATCACAAACTGGATTTAACCTTCTACAACGGAATTCAATCTTGTGTGATAGTAAATGGATTTGGATCCAATGTTTTTACATAGAGGGTGTCTCCAAGGCGATATCCTACCACCTTATATATTCCTCCTATGTGCCGAAATACTTGCTACGCTAATCAGAAATAATGATAATATAAAAGGAGTAACGATAGGGAATACAAAATATTTACTTTCCCAATTTACAGATGATACTACATACATGTGTTCTAGATTGTTCAGAAAGATGTTTATTTGCCTCTCTGTAGGTATTGACATTCTTTGCTGGGTTCTCTGGGTTAAAAGTTAATATAGAGAAAACAAGATTAATATGGATTGGCTCAAAGAAAAGATCAAGAATGAAATTATGCCTCCGAATAAAATTAAATTGGAGCCACCAACCTTTTGATCTTCTAGGTATAATATTTTACACTATCTAACCCAAATGATTGAATTGAATCATAAAGATAAGTTAAGTACATATGAAACATTAATGTCCATATGGCAGTAAGAAACTTTACACCTCTCGGGGGAAATACTATCCTTAAATCACTCATATAACCTAAACTAAATGACCTGTTTTCAGCAGTACCAGACCGTCCCGATTCGATGTTAGAACCTTTCCAAAAGAAAATACATGTATTCAAATTCTTATGGGGCAACAAGCTTGTCAGAGGAGCCTCGTAGAATTCCGGCAAAAATATTAGGTCTTGACGCAAAGTATAGATCTGCAGTAGCTCATGTCACCCGTGGCCCTGAGATAGGTCTTTACTACCATGTGCTTGTTGTATAACCCGACCAATATGTATCTGGTTGCTTAGCTCTGTGACGCTGTTTATTACGAGTTGTCGTGAGTAGATGGCGCGAATCGCTGACGCGGTCCAGTTTGTATGCATGGTTTGCATGTCCAGAATAAATTATGTGCATGATTCAGATGGCAATGCCTGAGGTCAGTGCTATTCTCTATGAACAAAAACGATGCTTGAAGAAGTTCCCAAATTTTTGCTATTTCCGTGTGATCCCTTGTTTTGGGGGTTGGACAACTGACTTTTCGAGACACCTGGTGTCATCTGTAGTGTATTTCTCATACAAATGCTTTTGACATAACCGACATATGTTTGATACAATGCATCCTGGTTTTAGCAGAGATATTTTCTGTAACATTCTTTGCTGGATAACCACATATTAATTATTTCTATTTAAATAATATGAGTAACGTGTTTTAGGTTATGTATGGAAATTAAGCAGTTCTATGTCTTATGAGAATGTGTGGAAACAAATGAATTGAATTGAATTGTGATTCTCAACACACGAAGACACAATCTTCCTGCACCTAAAGAAACGTGAGTACATTGGGGTTGGGTAGAAACTCAGGTATGTTGACGTGCATGAAACGCCAAGGATGTGGCATGACACTCCGAATTTGTTCATACCACTGTGTGTGGGACGGTGGGGTAGCCTAATGGTTAAAGCTCGTCACACAAGCTCGATTCCCAAGATGGGTACAATGTGTGAAACCCATTTCTGGTGTCCCCCGCTGGAATATTGCTAAAAGGGCGTTAACCTAAGCTCACTCACTCATACCACTGTGAGGTGGGGTGAAATAGGTTTTAAATTTGCTTTCAAGATTTTTGCTCTTATTTGCATGGACGTTTGTGTACTCGTGTGGTTTTTGTTTTGTTTTTGTTTTTCTGTTTGTTTTTGTGTGTGTGTTTTTTTTTGTCTTTTACGTGCATTCGTGTTATTGTGGCACCATACCGACATTAGTTAGAACTAACAGCTACGGACTAATGCCGTTTTTCTATTACAATTCCTATGAACAACCAATTTAACATGGATGTTCCACATAGATACAGCATACTTATCTCCAAGACAACCAGTCTTTTAGTTATTCCCTTAATACCGAGCAAGAGGCAGAGTAACAACAAGCTTCATCTCATAGCAGGGATTTAACCATCGACATTCTCCGAAAAGACGCTGTATCAACTACACCACAAATGCACCCGTTAAGGACTGTGACAGCCGTGTTCTTGATACCACCAGCCCCACATAGGCAGGGCATGTTCTGAATGAGGGTCCTGATGGTAGTCTACAGTGCCTGAGCCACTCCTGTTGCCGGACAGCAAGGCGCCGGTCCAGACTGCGAGGCACCACAGGACCACAGGACGTCAATCTGTTGGGTTCAATCTGTTTTATACTCGCAAAACAGCAAAATCTACCTCCACTGACATTAAACCACGACAATATCCGCTTTACTGGACAAGAGGGACGAAGTCGGTCCTCTACATGCTATAGATGAAGGTATCACTGAACCATCGCCATGTCAGTGGTCCTATATGAACACTACTGGTAGCACAGACGAACATGTCGCCAAACACCACTTTGGCAATCTGTGAGGTCGAGAAGTCAGCTCGACAGTGTCCTCTCACTTAGCCAGATTCTGTCAAAACAGGTCTCTCACATAGCCAGAGTGGGATTTGGCTGACTAGGGTTAAAGTTTTGATAACAATTAGTCCAGATGAGCCATAGTCTGTATCAACAAAATATTCAGTTAGTGAGATTAGTGAAATTTGTATTCAAGTGAGATACATTGATATGGTATTATTTGACTTTCTTTAAATTTTCGACTCCTCATTGAGCATGGTGTGACTCCAATGACGCAGCTGACCGAGGCAAGCAATGGCGCTGTCCACAACTTTGGCCATCCATTCTTTGGCGATCATCAGCATCCTTTTGCCTATGAAAACGCAATAAATCCCTCTTTTTGATTTGTTGAAGTCATTAGCAGCCTGTCGACCAAGTCAGACATATTGTTTGTTATTTGTTGACAAAAATGTAAAACTGCTGACATTATCATACATTATTAACATTGCTTTTGAGTATTGTAAATAATTCCAAGCAGGGATGTTTTGTAATGGACTGACCCTAGCACGCCTGATGCAATCCCTAGTATGGGGGATATGCATATATTTGGGTTGACCATATACATAACAGCACTGTTGTTTCGTCCCACTACATCTTGGTTCCTTAGAGTTGTATTTTGGACAGTATCCCGTGTATGTGTCGTGTTTGACCACATATATGATAAACAGAGGTCAACTCCTCTGCACGATGTACAGTACAACCAGAAATTATCGAGAATTTAAAGATTGTAATTTTTATATTTTTTTCACTCATTACTCACGTATTAAATGTGAATATTAGCAGAACATAACTCCAGATTCAAAGACAGGTGAACAGTTAGTATTTTGTCAAGTCACCATAGGCAGCAATGCAGCAAGTTAGAAAGTCGTGGTCCATGCTGTCCCAATATCCCACCACCTCTTCTTTCATTTCAGCAATATTTGTCAGATTTTTCTTATTGACACTTTCCTTCATAAGTCCCCAAACATTTTCTATTGGATTTAGGTCAGGGCTATAGCTTTGGCCAATCTAATAATGTCATATTTTGGGTCCGAAACCAGGCCTGTGAATGCTTTGAACGATGTTTTGGGTCGTTGTCCTGATTTGTGTACCGCTCACTGTTAATATTCCCTTCAAATACACAGAGGGGCGTTGCCCCTAACACACATATGCCACCCCACACGTTAAATTTCGGATTGTACTTTGGGGGCTGATACAATGGTTTTTCACTTTGTTTGGTCCAGATTTCCAGTGTATTAGGAAACAGCAACACAGAACTATCATCTGAGAAAATCACATTGTCCCAGTTAAAATTTCTATGCTCTAAGCACCAGTTCAATCTTCGCTCCTTTTGTTCAGGTTTCATGATCGGTGATGGAATTCCTCGACTTTTCTGCCAACCCCTTGCATGCAGCTCAGTTCTAATTGTCCGTTACAGACAGCCACAGTTCCTCTATCAATCATATCCAGCCTTAAGTTTTCTAAACTCTTTCGTTTGTTTTTAGAAACAAGAATACCAAGCCGCCTCCTGTCACCGGCAGTCAATGTTCTGGGCCTACCTGCGCCTCCCTGGTGCTCAATGCCATATCCATTTGCAATATTTTTCAAAACACGATAAACAGTGGACAAAGGGATGCCTGTTCAACTTGAAATCACTTTAGCTGATCTGATGTCCTTGTTATAATACTCTAAAATCAACTTCCTTTTCTCTAAATCACCCATACTGAGGATCACTGAAAATGTCGTCTGCTAGCAAGTAACCAAAGGGGGATAACTCTTCACAAACTAATGAAAAAGGATTAACAGAGTTGTCTCTCTTGAATGAAACCAAGCACTTGATAGCTGGTCAAGGTTGTTTATACTAGAAATACAATTAAACATATTCCTAAAATTCTCAATAATTCCTGGTCATACTATATATGTACAAATTACCTCTTCATTTTTTCAGTTGTTAACAAAAACAATATCTGACCGAGGCTACTTCGTCAATGTTGTTATTTGATTTTGATTGCTTGTGGTACAATGGCACGATGCGTAATATTCCTGGTATTGACGGTGGCCTGTGAGGAACCGATTCTGGACCGGAAAAACCAGATGTGAATTTTGATCTTCCTCATCACTTTCAGTCTGTGTACAACGGAACGATAGTCTCTTTAGCACGTCATGTAAATATTGCTCACAGTTTGATTTCGGACACGTTATGATTTCCGTTTCAATAACAACAAATTCTATGACAACAATCAATCATCATTGAAACAGAACGGGACTGGCATTTGTAGCATGGCAATTGATTCAGATCAGTGTTTGTACAGACAACACAATCAGCACCTACTTGGTTCGGTCTGTGTGAAGGCGTCTCTATGACTGAAGATTGCTTTTGGATACTCAAAAGATAGTTCCTTCAGCAGTAGATCCATCTCCAAGATAACTCCCTCGTCACATATAGATCTCCGACAGGTCCCTCCCAACTGGATTCGAACCTAGCCGGACCAGGCTGTCCGTTCAAACGTCACACTCTCTTGGCACTTTTTTAAAGCAGTTTCACACCCTGGACGACCCTGTGCACCTGTTACCGTGGATCCAGAACCTGTGAGAGACCAATACGACGTGGCATGTATTGGTGTGCCGTGGCCGTGTTGTGCGTTACCTATGGGAGCACGACTGTGTCAGCTACAGTTACAAACTGCGGGAAACAACTGCACGCAATCCACACCCACGGGAAGCGTTTGTGCACGCACATGGTTGCTATGCGAATGGAAATACATGTACGCTCATTACGTCCTTTGCTCTTAAATGCTCTCAAATGCAACCATTCATAATGTCTGATATCTTGTGAAAGTGTCATCTTTGGCCTGTGTTTATATGTTTGCCTTGCTATGAAACTTTACGGCGTGTGAGACATCAATGTTCCAGCTACACCAATAGGGTCTGTATGTATTCGAGTTGAGCACAGGCAAACCAGCGGCTGAACATGTGTGCAGTCCCATCTGCGTTCGATTGGTTCTTGCAAATCACCTGACCTCACCTTTTAGTTTCTCATAGCAAAACATACTGTGAGAACCTCGCCCCATTTATCTGTAAATAGTAGGAGAGTTCATGTATGTGTTAGCGTGTCAGACGATGTGTGAATGAACCCGTGAAGATGCCTGTTAGAATTGGTCTTCAGCAACCCATGCTTGTCGTAAGAGACAACTAACTTGATCGGGTGGTCATGTTCGCTGACTCGGTTGACACATGTCATCGGTTCCCAACTGCGTAGATTGTTGCTCATGCTGTTGATCACTGGATTGTCTGGTCCAGACGCGATTATTTACATATATAGAGTTGAAATATTGGTGCTAGCGACGTGAATCAACTAAAACAACAACAACTATGTGTGAATATGTGCCTTAATGTCTGTGTGTACATATGTGACAGCGTGTTAGTTAAGTGTATATATGGATGTGTGCCTGCCCCAGACTGTCTTAGTAAATAGGTGTTCGTCAAGGGTACATATGAAAGCGTGTGAGTTATTGTATGTATATGTAACAGTGCTTACGTGTCTTCGTATGTGTAATTATGTTAGTCTATGTACGTATGTCTAACAGTGTGCTGGTCTCTGTGTTTATACTCTAACCGTGTGTTCGCCTATGTACGTATGTGTAACAGTGTGCCGGTCTCTGTGTTTATACTGTAACAGTGTGTTAGTCTATGTACGTATGTGTAACAGTGTGCTGGTCTCTGTGTTTATACTGTAACCGTGTGTTCGTCTATGTGTGTATACGTAATTATGTTAGTCACTGTGGGTAAGTGTGTAGCAGTGTGCTAGTCAAATGTCTGTGTGCATATCTAATAGTGAATATGTAAAAAAAATTCAATGATTATATATAATCACTATGTGAATAAGGTGAATCACTGAAAACTTCAGCGATTATACATAATCCGTGGTTTTACACACACACACACACACACACACACACACACACTCGCACACACAAACACTCGCACACACAAACACTCGCACACACATGTATGTTACAGTGAATGTGTAACAATGTAGTCTAAGTGTGTATATAAGTAACAATGTGTTGTCTATGTGTTTACATGTGCAACATTTTGTCAGGCAATGTGTATATATACTGAGTCAAAAACACTTCACATTCTTTCTTCAGGGCACTATAAAAGAACAAGAGATGGTAAGATGGTTAAATTGTTATTATTTCATTGCTGAGATCTGTGTGATGTACTCGATACACTGACAGTGCCATAATCAGTTCCATTAGGCTACACCGCCGTTCCAAAACATGGGTATACAGAATGTCAAGTCACAAGAATAAAAATGCGAAATTTCTCAGTTCAATATCGTGTATGGCCGCCCCGCGCATTCACCACTGCCAAACACTGTCTCCTCATCGACTGCCTGATGCTTGTGAACACGTGGTTGGGGATTCTGCGCCATTGCTCTTGCAAGGCAGCGCCAAGTTCCTGCAAATTCTGAGGTTGGTCCTAAGACCACGACGCCTTCTCCCAAGTGCATCCCAAACGTGCTCTATTGGATTAAGGTCAGGGGACCTCGATGGCCAGTCCATGACGTTGATTCCAGCGTTTTGAAGGAAATTTCGTGTCAACATCGCGGTATGCGGCCGAGCATTTTCATGCTGGAACTGTAGACATGGGCCATGAGCCACCATGAAAGGAACGAGTTCAGGGGTGAGCACCTGGTCGCGGTAAGCAGCAGCTGTGAGGTTTCCACGGATGACCAGAAGTCGGGAACGGTTGTTCCCACAGAAAGCACCCCACACCATGCAACTTCCGCCCCCGAATCTGTCGACTTCCTGTACACAACATTGGACATACCCTTCAAGACGTCGTCTCCAGACTCTATGCCTGCCGTCCGCGAATCTGAGGGTAAACCTGGATTCATCGCTAAAGACGACTCGATTCCAGTCTCTCTGGGTCCATCGGAGGTGACGTTGGGCCCACAGCAGACGTTGACGTTGATGAAACGGCGTCAACATTGGCCCAGTTAAAGCGTTGGCTCATCACGCCGAAGACCCGGGTTCGAATCCCCACATGGGTACTATGTGTGAAGCCCATTTCTGGTGTCCCCCGCCGTGATGTTGCTGGAATATTGCTAAAAGCGGCGTAAAACCAAACTCAGTCAGTCAGTCTATGTGTGTATATGGGTAAGTGTATTAGTAACTGTCAGTATATGACATGTGATAGTTTGTTAGCTACAGTGTACAGTCACTCACTCGCATTTACTATATTACTAAACCATTCAAAAGTTATAAAATATAACTAAAACAAATTTGAAGTTCAACCAAATATTTTATTATACTTCACATCCACTGCAGTGGATGTACACACTGTCAGGTTTTGTCGTAAACAGGGATGTATACATAAACCGGTTACCTGTCCTCAGAGGTGTATACAGAAGTCAGTTTTATAGTCCACGGTGATGTACACAGAGGTAAGTTTTATAGTCCACGGTGATGTACACAGAGGTAAGTTTTATAGTCCACGGTGATGTATACAGAAAAAAGTTTTACAGTCCACGGTGATGTACACAGAGGTAAGTTTTATAGTCCACGGTGATGTACACAGAGGTCAGTTTTGTATTCCACGGTGATGTATACAGAAAAAAGTTTTACAGTCCACGGTGATGTACACAGATGTCAGTTTTATAGTCCACGGTGATGTACACAGAGGTAAGTTTTATAGTCCACAGGGATGTATACAGAGATAAGTTTTATAGTCCACGGTGATGTACACAGAGGTAGGTGTTATAGTCCACGGTGATGTACACAGAGGTAGGTTTTATAGTCCACGGTGATGTACACAGAAGACAGTTTTATAGTTCACGGTGATGTACACAGAGGTAGGTTTTATAGTCCAAGGTGATGTACACAGAGGGAAGTTTTATAGTCCACGGTGATGTACACAGAAGACAGTTCTATAGTCCACGGTGATGTACACAGAGGTAAGTTTTGTATTCCACAGGGATGTATACAGAGCCTAGCGTCATATTCCACATTAATGCAAACACTGGCCAATGATCTACGTAGTTACTGATATGCATGTTCGACCATTAAAACACTTTCTGTCTTCCAGCAAGTATCTCAGTGTCGTCATCTAGTGATACTCGGTCCAGTCTCATTCATTACTGTCTCACAATGTAGAGAAACGTTAGATCCGCTCGCACAGAAACTGCGTGAATTCTGAATGTAGAAAAGTACACATATATTGAAGGGGATGCCTTCAGTTGAAAAGTAAACAGTGTGAGGTTTCAAACAAATATCCTTTAAAAAACATGGCGAGGAATTGACGATACGAGGAGGACAGACCACATTTACCTCTAACATCTAGTTTGCCGTCCCCGTTTCGGTCTGCCAGTTGTAGTATCTGTTCTGCTTCCGACACTGTCAACACCTCACCCATCCTCGTGAGGACATTGAAGAGCTCCTGCAATAGACAACGATGCATAGTGGAAGTACTGAGCGGTCTGAGAGATATTTCATAAAACACTTCATCATTTGATAGACGCTGGGGGTAAGTGAAGACATGGCACGTTCATGGATTGTGAGTGAGTGAATGATTGATTTTAGTTTTACGCCGCTTTTAGCAATATTCCAGCAATATCACTGCGCGAGACACCAGAAATGCGCCTCACGCATTGTGCTCACGTGTGGAATCGAACCCGGGTCTTCGGCGTGACAAGCGAACGCTTTAACCACAAGGCTACCTCACCGCCCCGTTTATGGATAAGAACTACTTTCCTTTTTTCTTTTTTTTGTATGGGGTAGCCCATTCTCTTTCCACAGAGGTTACTTGTCATATCTTCCTACGAACCTCTGTTCTAATACCGCTCTTTCATGGCGCGAGTGTTCAGGATTCGTGATTGGTTGCAATCAGGTTTAGATGTGCAATCAGCGACGTTGTTTCAAAAGTGATCATCCGCAAGGCCTCGGTAATTTCCGTATACTTCAGGGAAACCTCTTCACCAGCGCGATGCCCAAACTTCTAGACAGAACTCAGTCATGCAATGGTGGATCAATGGCGTCTCCATCGCCCTCATTGACAACGGACAAGAAAACCATTAAATGTCTTGCGTGTCACATCAACACAAGTCCCCGGCAGAGGATGGATATTTGTGGCCCCACATTTGCTATTAGTCAGGTTGGATCTAAGTCGATGTAACACGTGTTCTGATTGGCTAGAAAGAAGGGAGATAATTCGTGTTGCGATTTTTGTGGCCGATACGGCAATAGGGAATTTTACGAGAACCGGGAAATATGGCCGTATTAGAACAGAGGTTCGTAGGAAGATATGACAAGTAACCTCTGTGGGAAGAGAATGGTGTTAATGTAGATGAAGACATTCTTCTCCTCTTTGCGTCGCTTTTTCAGCATTGAATTTCCTTCAAACTCTACCATAATCAAAGGGCCGCTGATATTGCCAACCCAACATTGAGGCTGTTTGTAACTCGCATTCTGGTTGGTTGGACTACTAGATCTAACGTACCAATCAAACTGGCAAATGGGAATCAAGGGCGAGAAATTGAGAATAGTAAACCTACGGGAATGGAACCAGGGGTTATTGTACACTATTATTAGCGAATTGGATAAACCCCTGGATAAAGAGGATGGTGGCATAGTTCGCATGCATCACTGTGCCGGGTTGTGACCATCGGTTCAAATCCCGGTTCGCGTCGATCACGCTTGTTTGTCCACACCGTACCCGAGCTCGTGGCTTTCATCAGCCGGTTAACGTCTTTGGCGTGTATCAGTTCAGGGTGTTATCCCACAACAAGCTGACGAGCCGTGATATAACTGGAACACTGCTCAGATCGGGGTTAAAACCCAGTCTACTCACTCATTGACTCACTAGCTTCATTTGTCTATCGTTGACTATGGGTATTTTTCTCTTACTTTTTTATCCAGCAGTTCATTTTTATCCTTGTCAAACACCAGGAACGCCTGTTTGAGCTGCACCTCCACCTCCTGAGGCGAAATGATGTCTTTCTCCACCAACTTGACGAACTCATCGTAGCAGAGATAGCCGGAAGCTGGGTCACAAAGTATCAGTTTTACATACTGCACCAACACATGAGGAATCGGCAGGTTGTATGTCGATATTAACAACCATTTTGCTTTCTGGTTAAAGCACATCAAGCACACATATACCCCCCACTAATGGCATGGGGACCTGTCATTTTATCTATCCATAGATGCTACTCAAAGATAATACAGCATATGTTAATATAATTACTGGACCTACAATGGCGAGCATCAGCAGCACTACAAATAGCAAATGTAGGGAAGGTGAAGACAAATTCACGTGACAGTTTACGTCCTGCTGTTACATATTCCAAATAACGTCCAACACCGTTGTGTGGAAGGCGAAGTGGTCTCAAGTCTCGTAGTTCCAGCATTGTATCTGTGTCGCACCTTGGAAACTTGCAGTATTGACGTAGGTCCCTTCTACTTCGACAGAATGGTGTTTAATATATATTTCATCTGATCCGCACCTGTATATAGAAATCCCTTTGCGAAATACCTACATGAAACAAAGCATCACAACACCCATGATTTTCACCCCCATAGATCCCCCCTAGATATATTCACATCATTATTATGTTTGTTTGCATGATTACTGTGATCTTGCGGGTGAGCCATACATTGGCTTTAGATATACGCGTGCTGCGATCAAAGCATCATGTCGAATATGTGTACCCGTCATAAAGCAAATATCAGGTTTCAGTATATTTTACTACGGCTCGATAACTTGGAAAATCACTTGATGTCGTTATTGTCAAGCACTTTTGGAGCCTCTTTAACTGACAACTGCCCAAAGATGGCAAGTTATTGGTATATGGAATGTTAGCATGTCACTCAAGGCTATTGGAAGAGATGCTGGTTGACATCCATCGACTACCAGCCGATTGGCCAGAAAACATCAGACAACAAATGACGTTAATGAACGTCAGCGCTCAGGTCGACCACGAATGACAACTTCTAGGGAGAGTACGGCCATTCTTAGAATCACAAGACATTATGCGTTCATGTCAAATAGCCCGTGAATAACAGACTGGTTTCCACAACATTGTGAGTCCAACAGAACGATCCGAAATCGCCTACAATCGGCCGGGAATAGAGCTAAAGGTTATACCGGATATTGACACTGTGCGACGTTATTGACACTTATGTGATTTCTTGAGGATTGTATGCCAGAATGCTGATACTAGTAATTACCATTCCTGTTAATGTCATAGGACCATAGGTATCAGCACTACTATGAATAAATTATTTGCCATGTTTGCTTCTCTGAATAAACTTTATTTTTTCGTTTCTTTAGCATTTAAGTTTGCTATCTAAGTATTTCTTGAGGGTCAGGTTATCCAGAGAGTAAGTTAAGTTAAGGTTTGGATAAGCTCTTTTTCTACCGTTAATGGTAACATATTGATACTATGAAAACTATCGGGTGTTGCAATACGTTTTTCCATGTGTATCTATGAAGGTCTCAAGTACAATTCGACTCATTTCCGGACAACAAGCGACAATCCAGTATATCAGCTATAGAGACAAACAACATACACCTTCATTCGTGATATACCCACCGTCTATGTCTGCTTGCTCCATATACAAGTCTATGTTTTTCTTTGTGGGATTTTGACCGAGAGCACGTAGGACTGGTCCCAACTCGTCTTTGCTTATCTTCTTGTCTCCATTCTTATCAAACAGGTGGAAGGCATCTTTAATATCTGCAAGTTTGCACACACATATAAGATTATGTTTATCCCCTATTTTTCCACGAATAATAAAGTTTAATAGACCATAAGATATCAACAAACCCTACTGGGGACCTGTGAAGATCGGGTTAAAAATTGATCTTCAGTAACCCATGCTTGTCGTAAGAGGCGACTAACGGGATCGGGTGGTCAGGCTCGCTGAAGTTTGTTGACACACGTCATCGTATCCCAATTGCGTAGATCGATGCTCATGCTGTTGATCACTGGATTGTATGGTCTCTGGTCTCAGACTCGATTATTTACAGACCGCCGCCATATAGCTTATATAATGCTGAGTGCGGCGTAACCAACTAACCAACCAGCCCCACTGGGCCTCTTCCACAAAGCGTTACGTCGTTGCGCTGTGATGGCTTTCTGTAACGCTACCATTTGTCGATTGAAGTTCGACCTACCTTGTGCCTCGCCAGGAGTAAGCCCCTCAACATACGCCTAAAAATTAAGAAAGTAATATTATAAACGTGATGAGTTGTTATGAACGGCATTAACATTAAGTTCACTCAAGCGTACCTACAAACTGTATACATGGACATAGTGTTTGTATACATGGAGTTTACCTGAGCCTACATGCCTTCAATAACCTCATCCCATGCTTGTCGCAAGAGGCAACAACAACAACACATTTTCACAATAGTAGCACCTATTTTAAACCCGACAAAACTATCCAACGCTGCTCAATAATCTTCCGAATCTATTTCCGAATGAGGAAAGGCAACTTACGTCCATTAGTTTGGATAAGATGTAGACAGCCCAACTGTTTCTTTTACATTACGCTCACCTGGATATAGACACTGATTGAAGGGCCTTTATATTACCGAGACCACCTTTGTATGTTAAATCAGTAATCGCATCATGCTGCAATCTGACGCTGTGGGAAGTCACGCTCTGCTGACTGTATCCAGGACTACCTGTATTGTAACGGCTGACACCGATACGTTCCTTAGACAATTCCGAATGGGAAAGACATGGTAACAATTCAAATCAGGCCACTGTTGCTGGAGGATCATATTATCTTATCAAAGCCTTAAGCTACCATTCTTGGCTTCGAAAGAATCCATGTAAGACAAATGGAATAAGGCTATTCACTCTCGGTCCTGAGGTTTAAAATAATGTGAGAATCGGAAACCATTCTTTATTACTCGTTTAGGAGCGCGAGATTATGTTGTACAACTGTACGACTAGTTTTATCATCAAATTAAACTTTGGTTTGTTAAACTAAGGTCAAAAATACGTTGATCATGACTCACCATCTCTTCTGGTCGCGAAGCGGAATAGTCGTTCGTATTTTACCTATGCACGCTGTCGTATATTACTGTTTGTTTGGCTGGGTGCCAAAAAGAACAGTCGACACCAGGGACCTTTAACCCCTTTACTTCTGCTCAATATGCGACCAATCCATCCCTTAGGATTATCGTAACCATGATCAACCTAACACGTGCACCAATTAACCCGTCTACTTCTGTGAATGTCACGACAATGTTTCAAACATTAAGCATTAAATCTTTTACTTATATATTAACCAGAGCAGCGTATGGTGTTGCATTGATTACTGTTCTGTGGTACAAAATGCAGAATATCCAACAGACGGGGCAATGATAAGAGCTGCAAATTGAGCTGTCCTCTGTAAGATGCTATATAACTTTTAACTAATATATTGTTTCAAATGTTATGTAGATGTATTTTGTCACAACGAGTTGTAAATACTAATACTATTAACCTAAAACCAATAAGAGGTAACAGACAAACCCTTTTCCTTGATCACCATAACGCACAACAAATTGGTTTAGTCACCCGATATAATCGTATCTGTAACTTCTTTTATGGACGCTTCAACTATGAACGAGAGATGGAGGTGGAGAGATAGAGAGAGTGAGTGAGTGAGTTTAGTTTTACACCGCTTTTAGCAATGTTCCAGCAATATCATGGCGGGGGACACCAGAAATGGGCTTCACACATTGTACCCATGTGGGGAATCGAACCCGGGTTTTCGGCGTGGCGAGTGAACGCTTTAACCACTTGGTTACCCCATCGCCCAGATGAAAGAGATGTATGAAATATAATGTTTAATAAATTGCTTTGTTTTGCAGTGTCTTTAACTTTGTATGTTCATACAACCCCAGGATGAAAGCACCACATCGTACAGTAGGCTGGAAAAATGATTCATATATGTTAGCATATATCGCATAGGTAAAAACACCAGCATTAAAGTGTTTTGCACACAAAACACCAAAAGCTCGATTTGACGATGTAGAATTGGCAAGGTATCGGACACTTCTCCGTGCTGTATGAGAAGTTGGTTCAGAATCGGAAGCATGTGACGTGCAAGGACTTCGTTGATGTACCGAATTGCCGTCAAATTCCCCTGAACCACCACTAAATCAGATCTTTGTGTGTTGGATATTTCACCCCACACCATGACACTGTCCCTATCGAATCTGTCGACCTGTCGAATGCAATTAGGGGCAAAACAACGGTAAACACGCTGTTTTCCATCTCGCCGGTGAAGAAGAAATCGTGATTCTTCAGACTCACTTCCAGTTCCTAAGATTCCAGTTCTGTACTCTACACCACCACCGCAAGCGATTGCGCTGATGGAAGTCTCTCAAAACAGGGCAACACCTGGCCTTCTTGGTCGAATCCCCACTTCACGTAGTCGATTCTTGGCAGTTTGGTCAGAAATTCGGCTCAAACCAGGATGCGTTGTGCAGTCTCCACGGCGGTCTCAAGACGATGACCCAAGTGAGCAACCGGGATGTAGTGGTCCTGGGCTTGGGTGGTAACACTTCTCGGGCTATCTTGGGCGGAATGGGTCTGCAGTAAAAGATACCAAATGGGACATATGGTGCTCTGATGAACGTTGAAATGTCGGGCAACTGCAGACTGCGACTCCCCAGCTTCAAGGCGGCCTATATCGATGTTTCACTCCGATTGGGGACACGCAGTCGTGGCATGATGATTTCCTCTTTTCCAGGCAAAAACGAATGACAAAAATAACACAACGTTGGCCTATTTATAGTGATCGATACCGCATGCTTTTCTGCTTACTTGCACGTGCACTTTGTTTTGCATGTTTTCTTGGTGACGTTTTGGCGAATATTTCTTCAAACGCTTCTACAACAAGGGAAGCAGTTAAAATTACCGCGTTTTGGCGTCGAAACTGTTTACAATCACACAAAGATGACGTTTTGGAAAGAAACAGTATATTTGTATTGTTTTTGCCGCAGCTACATGAGTGCAATTTTCTGTTTTTTTGTGAAGAGTACATATAGTTGCTTGTGCTGTAATTTGTTAAAGCAAAATATTTTTGGAGAGGAGTTTTATATGTTGTGAGAACTTAACCTGGTCTGTCATACAGACCGTAACAAAGATAGGACATGTGGCAAGTTTAGATTACTAGATTAAGTCTCTGCGAACTTTTCATTATATTTTGTGATTAATATTTAGTAAAGGTGTATTTTCTGTAAAATATGTTCATTTCAGAGACTAGATGTTAGTTTGGAACTTAACCCCGATCATTTACACTTTGTGAATAAATGTGTTCAAACTAAACAATCAATTTTATTTGTTTTTTAAAGATGTTTTATCATCCTTCTCTGGTATAATGGCGACTCGTAGACTTATCTGGCGTTAGATAGCGTTAGTTATATAACTTTCCAACTTTCCACCCTTTCGCCAACTGGTTCTTCGAACCTTTTTGAACAGCATGTCAGCTACTGTTTTCTTTCGTGATTTGGAAACTTATTTCTGGCTGCATCACTGCCAGAGAAAGAAATACTAGTCCAGTCTTGATTGTTTGGTGAACGGGTTACATTCATTGCTAAAACTAAGAGTGCAGATCAAAAGCTCAGCCTCAATAGCTTTTTTCGATGCTGAATTCAGGTCAGGCAATACAAAAATTGCCCTTTGGCTCCAGGATGGAAACAATACTTAGACAGATGTGAATTGATGACTACGTATTTGTTTCTCGACCCATCTTTAACAAAATTGAAATTAATGCACTAAATATGTCGCAGGTTCGGTCTCTCATTGTCCGAGACAAATATTAGGAGACGGGGTTGTTTTAAAAAGCTGTTTATTTGCTTGTAATTGGAAAAGACAACATCATGAAATGTTGATATCTGTCTGCCGTCGCCCGAGGCTGACAGGTGACAATAGAAGGTCAATTCAAATTGTCCTGACGTCACAGGGTCAGATACAGGTAGCACGTACAATGAGAAGAAGTCATTGGGGAAAAAACGAATACTGGGTAATAATTCCAAGACGAGAAATCATCGAATGACCCGATGCACTCCAAATTCAACAATGGACATCGCAACCGTCAATGACACATGAAAGATGTTTTTGTTACATCCCCAAACACCAATTTACCTATGTTACAGGAATATTAAAATTTAAAGTGCCAGTTTTGCTCTTGGTTATATATCTATTATACACACGCACACGTACACGCACACGCACATATACACAAACATACTGTAAGAACAGAGGTACAGATGTTCCTTTTATCTATTGTGGTTAATCGCATGCATGAGTGACCTGACCCAATTTCTTTAATAGACCATACGGATTTACCTCCCTTGAAAATGCTCTAATTATTTATCCATGCTTCATTAATTACCACAAATTACCGGCCTTGAAATGGTCACAATTCTTGCGTATGATCAAGGGTAACGGAACCTCGGAGCGAGATGCTATCAGGCGACGTAGCTGCTACTGAGGGATCGTTCGCATTATCGGGTACTGAGTGCAAGGAAGCTGAATCTTGGGTCTGGTGGTTCTCTAAGGACCCACCTGACACGAGGGAAATATGAGATTCGGAGGAACGTTGCTCCGTAATAGGATCACTGGTAATGTGATCGTACGGAGAAATATATACAAGGATATTATAATTATCTATATCTGCATTCAATAAAATGAAACATTATTTCATTGACACATTTTCAGTTTGTAGGAATGTTACAAACGATCACCATACTCCGAGCAAGTGTCCAACACAATCAATGTAGCCCATAAATCCAGTGTCGCCGCTCTGTAAGTTTAAATCCATTTGGCATGAGCTGATCAAATTATGAATGTGGGGTGTCCATGTCATGTGGTGGAACGGATGTTACTCCTAAGAATTTAGCTTCCCTTTTTAATTCAATTTATTTGTTATTTAGGTGCCGTTTTGGGGGTATAATTTTGCACTCGCTGTGTTTGCAATAGAATGCCCACGGTTATTTTGACATTAATATGGAAAACCCATTTTTTAGTCCATTTTTGGATATGATTTAGCATAGTTTGGGTCCCACCCTCAATGATCACGGAACCACCCCTAAAGTGATTCTCTCCATGACACAGGCTCGGTCACAACGCTTCTCGTGACGTCTGTAGACACGCTGACGTCTGTCACAACGGGAAATATTAAATCTGGACTCGTCTGTAAAAACAATTTAACCGTAAACAGCCTAGGTTGACGGACATTGTTTCGGCACCACCTTTGACTGGTTTCTCCATGACGTTGCTTCAGGATAGGCCGTATGGCGGAACGACGTGGTCGTATCAGATAATGCCGTAAGCGATTCCTGACTGTGTTGGAGTGGATACGCCAGATGGTCCTGGAATGGTCAGTGCCGTGGGAACTGCAGTATGGAACCCAGCTCATGTATTGAATTCATTTCACTAATTACTGTAATTGTGTACACCTGTAGTTCCAACATAAACTACCAGGAACAAGAAGTTATCGC